CAATCTGAGGTAAAGTGGTATAAATCGCTAGATCACCGAGAACGATATTACTTTAGATATTATCCATACTGTAACAGTTTATTTGTTGCCTTATTCCTGTAATAATCTCTGAAATTTGATAAGAAGATAGATGGTATCGGAGACAGACATAGACATAGACAGACATAATAAATAGTTATTATCCCAAAAAAGCAGATGATGTCACGTGTAACAGCTGTTTATGTATTTGTATAAAATAAAAATTAACTGCTGTTCGTTAATCTCCCTAAAACTCGAGAACGGTTAAACCGATTTGCCTAATTTTAGTCTTAAAATATTTGTGGACGTCCAGGGAAGGTTTAAAGGATGATAAAATATTAAGAAATTGCATGTATAATAGTAAAATCAACAATTTTATGTTTCCATACAAACTGCTGATGTCTGACAAACAGTGTGCGTTCATAATGTATTGCGTAACTAAACTTCAAAAAGTCTTTGACATATTTAATTTTGAGGCGAAATGGAGTTCGCTGGATCAGCTAGTGTATTCATAAAATTGGGTAAACTAGTTGGCATTTGTAATAACACTAAGTAATGCCTATATCCCTATTAAGTTACATAGATCAAAACTGTAATTATTAGGCCACGTTGAATTAATTAACTACTTGAAATATTGCCTATACATATCACAAGATTGGAGTATTTAAGAGCACATATACGTACATATAATATACATTTCTATATAAATATATATATTTCAAGCAACCTAATTTCATTAAAAATACGTCTATTTTAATTTTTATTGTAAATGTTTGCTTTAACGAGTGGAACGTTTCGGTTTGGTTTTTTTATTAGTTTAGGCTTTTACTAACATTCTGGGTTCTAAATATGTAATATTTTTAATGCATACCTAATTTCGTAATATATACAATACAGTTAAACTTTAATCTATGCCTACTGTGTATACATATATCGTTATTCACGAATACGAATTGTTATCGAATATGTCTAGAAAGAGTTAAATCAATTTTTATACCAATGTGTAGCAATCTGACGGCCTCGGTAGTTTAGTTTTTCGATAATGACGGGTTCAATTCCTCGCACAGAACAAACATTTGTATTTATAAGTATGAATGTTTGTATTTGTGTGGGGATTTTCTATGTAATATATATACAAAACACTCAGACTGATACTAGCAAGTGTTTTTTTATGTATACTATATATGTAGTTAGAAAAAAATGTATCTATGTATGTATATACATTATTTTTCTAACTGCATACATGAAATTTAAATATACAAATGTATCTATATACATATGTATTAGTTGTTTATTACCCACAACAGAAGCTTTACACCTAGTTTGCATCTAGATTATGCTGTGTGAATTGTCTCGAGATATTCTCATCATTATTTAGTCCGTGTTTTAAGATATGTCTTCAGAATCTTGCTCCGATGTGACACACTGTAGCCAGTAGGTAACGTTTTCCCTTTGGCTAGCTGTACTTATTTTCTATTCAAAGTAGATATCCCTTGAGGCTCACGGGGTAAAGATTTTTGACACCCAAGTCCAAAATCTTTACTTTCGTGCCCCCAAGGCGATATCCTATCCAAGGCAAATAGTGGCATTTAAATCGTCAAATATCAATAAACGAATATTGGTGAAATTTACTTATAAATATATATATGTATATTTACGTCGTAATATTATAAATGCGAAAATATGTCTGGCGATCTGATTCGTTATCTATTTAGTACTAAGCGCTGATTAGACAATGATGAGATTTGACGTTCATATATACGATATCATGAATTATCTAAAAAAAGAAACGTTGTATTTTAATAGAACTTATATGTTAATCCTAATAATCTCCATTTTTTCAGGCGTTATTCAATATTAGTGTATTATGGAAAATGGTTACTAAATCTTTACCATATATTTACACTCATTGAAAATTTAATGTAACCTAAGTTAACGTACATAACCGTCGTTTTAAGACCCGATTAACTATATTAATAATGGGTGATATTAAACAAAACTGGATGAGAAGGGCTGAAGATCGTGCCCAGTGGCGTGCCTTGGGAGAGGCTTATGTCCAGCAGTGGACTGCAGTGGGCTGATGATGATGATGATGATTAAACAAAAAGACAAAAAATTCGAAATAATATTTTTTTACCTCCCTGACATAAGAGCAATGTGTAAATATTTTATACAAATAAAAGCTACTTTCAACCTAATCTACATAATCTTAAGAAGGTTATTTCGTTATTGAATAAAAAAAATATGCGTCTCAGCTTGCAAAGCAGTTAGCTAATGGACAAAAAACCCAAGAAGCGGTCGCCGGTTGGAACAAACTTTCCGCAAAATATGAACGAGCAAACAAGAGATGTTTTCTGCTTTGAAATGTCACAAAGGGTAATGCATTTGCCTTTTGTATGTGAATGAGGCAGGATTTAATGGTTGAGAAAAAGCGGGCAAGTGCAATTAACGTTTGTGATATTACTGTTCTATATCTTCATAGGCTACATAACATTTCAATTTAGTTTTAAAATATTCGATTTGATCTCTATAAACACTTGTATGGATGAGGTAATGTTTAGCGAATTCACAGTATCTAACATTACAGAACCGCTTTTATGTAACTATTTATTACCTACTTATTTTTAATATTAACGCATTTAGTACACTTTTTAATATAGTTAAACGGGGTTTAACATGAAAGTTGAAAGAAAACCTTTATTTATTACAAAATTATTCGTCTTAAAACTCGATTAACTATCATTATTAGTATTAGTATTATATATATATAGAATTAGTATTATCATGCCCTTATTTTGTACCGTAAAGAAAGTATTCCGATAAAATTAGTGGTTTTTCTAATTGTCTACGGTACACCAAATAGCGTTAGATGTCACAATATATAATAATGACTCTCAAATGTTTAAGTTTTTTGTTATACATAGTTACTAACAACCGTTGCCGTTTTAGTTAGGTTTATCAGATTAAATAATCCAGGGAATTTATTTTTATTGCTGTTCGTCCATACCGCAGTGAACCTATACTTTATATTTATTGGTGGAAAATGGTAATCGTTCCATAAAGCTATGAAAGGCTTCATGGACTCTGGTCATTATACAACGATATACGATACACCTAATGCATCGTATAATGTTATAGTTTTATTTCTATTCCTTCCCGTTCCTTGTAACTTTAGTTACTTCATGACGTAACTATTCATACTATGTTTAAAGGGTTTTTTTGTAATACCAATATTATAAAGGGAAATCATTTGATTTTTTGTATGGTTGTAATGGATAAAAAATCAAAAAAATCTTGACTTTTTGTTAAAATTATATCATAGTTTGAAAAGCACATTTGGTTGTCCTATTAATGATGTGTTTACACTTATAGTACTATCTAATATACGTTTAATGGTAATTTACAAAACTTGAAAAGGTATGGAGCGAACGTTAAGATCGTTAAGATCGTAACTCGTTTACATATAAAACAGTTTTTTTAAATTTCAATATGCTTCTGAACGTTATAATAAACAAATTTTTACTAGAGCAGCGACTTCGTCTTATACTCACTATATATAAAAACTCTTCCTCTATCGTCTCAAATAATTCATACAAGTAGGTATATGTGATTTGTATGAAATTGCTTTAAGCGATAAGATTGCTGTTTGCTAAGCTACTTTTTCTTACCGTTCGCAATGAAGTTTCGTTTTTATTATGTATTGTCTTTACTAATCTTTAAAGTATGAAACTATGTAAATGCACAGATAAACAAATAAAAACTCTGGACAATTCACACAGCGCTATCTAGTCCTAAGAAGAATACACATTGTATTATGGGTTCTAGATAACTTATAAATACTTAAATATATTTTTTTATAAATACATACATATTATATATTGAAAACAGCCAGACTAATAAAAACAATCATACTCATGACTACAAATCTTTACATCGTGGATGGAACTGAACCCGCTGCTATCTTAGTAAGGCGATGTGCTAAACAGCAATACAACTGAGGTAACAAATAAACTAGCACCGAATTTAATTGGTGGGTATACTATTTCAACCGTCGAGAAGCTTTTTTGGTATGCTGTATTTTAGTTGAATGGTGAAATATAAACCTAATAGACTAAATTAATACTAATGGATAACAGCTTAGCCCTCCAGAATAGCAACGTGTGAAGGGTAACGTGAGTCTCACATGTTGTCGTGCTGCTGGTCAAGTATATAGTACTATAGACGATGGTTACCACTTACCATCAGGCCTTCAGAATATTTGAAATTACACATTTATAAAAAAAATTAAGTGGGCAAAATTGTGGTTATTTAGTTAGTGTATAATATATAGGAATTATTATAACAGTATATTGTGGATACCATCGTAATAGTTTCAACCATACCTATTTTCTTGTTACAAAGATATCACCAAGTTATGAATAGTTAGATTGAGACAAATGTCTAGTCGCCCACTCAGCAAAGCATTTTTTTGCGAAAGCATTTTTCGAAATACTGCCATCTGTAAAATTATTTTAGAACTAAAACGCGTGCATTCAAATTGTGTTCGTTAAAGCAATCTTACATGTACTAATATCAGTAGTAGTAATGATATTAAATATTGGAATAACTTTAACTTAGATGGCGTTTTTTAATATAAAACAGTGCATATTAAAAAAATATTGGTAAGCGTGATCTAAAATCTCTTAAGGACATTAATAAAATATAATATAAATAGTTTGCTAGAGACTTACACTACTAGTTAGTATTACTTGAAAGACCACAATTAAGTCAAAGGTATTACTAACTTTATTTCGTACTAAATCCGTTAGATACCCGCTCCTTTTTTGAAATAACTTAGTACACATATTTATATTGTTTATTCATTATCCACCAATTTTTATTAAACAATTTAATAATTATTATAATTTTATACAAAAGTATAGTTCACAGTAAAAAAAGATTAAAGCTATTTGTATTACATAATCAATTATACATATAAAATATTATGGAGATTCAACATTATCTTTCTTGTTTTCAATAGATAAATCTACCGTTGTTGGCCTTTGTTCTATTCTTCTTGATCCTGTGAATTAGTAATGTCCATATAGTTACAACATTAACACTACAATAATTTAAAAATATATATATAAATGATTAGAAATTTATAAAAAATAACTTTACAATAGAAAGACAAAAATAAAATTATATTTAGAAATTATATAAATTCATTAATAAGTTTAAAGAAATATCTACATTCCTTTCGCATGTTAATAATAAATGTCATAGGAAATCTACTGCAAAGTTAAATGTAGGTTTACAGTTTATTAGCGATAATTAGCAACGTTTAATTTTATTGCAATGTATTTTAATGTGTACGACAAATTAATCATAAACAATAAAAAAAATATATTGTAAATTAACCTCCGAGGAAATATTTAATCAGCACAGAACACGGTGAATCAACAAATATAGTGATAACAAAAGCGGCGAGCAGAGATATTGAAAAATCAATGATAAACCGGTGAATCTGAAAAACACAACAAATATTATTAATCCATACTACCCGTTGTGATACGTAGATTGTTTAAGTAACTTATTTAGGCATCAAGCTAGAAGTCTACCTGATCCAAAGTGACAATCTTTGACTAAATACGTAAATAACACCACATACATCAAATCGTTACATGATGCATGCATCGTAAATATAGAATAGAATAGTAAAACATAAGGCGACATGTCGTACGCATTATGTTTTACTATTCCTGTGAACTAAAGTCAAACATCCATACCCTATAATTCCACTGTCACATCTTATTTTCAACCCGGAATATAACTTACAAAGCAAGCTGCTTAACGGTAGAGATCGTAGATAGAGAGGTACCCTAGACTAACCAAATTGTAAAAATTCTATCTCGGTAAAAGAGATTTGATAATAATAAAAACCCTGAACAATTCACACAGCGTTCGCATATTTATATTACTAAGAAATATACTATGCGATGTAGTTTTAAAGGTACTTACAGTAAATTCGACATTAAAATACACAGGTGCCAGAAGAGTACCGTTGACGACAAAATTAAGTTGATAGTGAAGGATGTACATTGCATAAGAAAGCCTTCCTAATATCTTCCACATACGAAGAGAAAGTACCCAGTTTATAGGACCTAAAACAAATGTCTATGATTGTACATATGTTATATCATTTATATGCCATAAAAGTAATAAAACAGTTTCGTTACAATGACGAACTCTACTAATCAAATATTTCAGAAATTGATATCAGACCACTTTTTTTACATAAAACATTCATTTTAGCTATTATTAGTAATAAAAATCCAACCTATTACTGTTACATAACTATGTAGAGCTTTTTGGGGGTTGACAAAAAGGTATTGGAAGATGTATTTAATGTACATCTACTCTATAGTACCATCAGTCTTGAAATTAGAGTTCTTTATTTATACTGGCTATATTGGCTGCTCGCTCTAATAGTTGAGTTCAAAGTTTTCCTTTTCATCATTGCGACACATAAAGCCACCACCAATTTTTTATTTGTAAAATTTATATTTCTGTAGCTCATGCATGCTATGTGTTTGTAATTGATAAATAAAGCATTTATACATCTATTAATATTAATTATTAATATATTATTTTATTAATATATGTCAAACATCGTGAAATTGTATCTAGCTAACAAAAAAACTTTTTGTATAATTTTAACTTGCTGTAGATTCACACACTGCTACGTTAATATTCCATACCCTTCACAAAAATGTCAAATATTAAGTTCACTACAATGTCGACAGTCAATACTGTCTCTGAAATTACAATCATCGAAATACATTTATAATACATGCATATTTGAATAACTTTACTATGTAATAACAATTTTCATATCTTTAGTACTTAAAATATAAATTAATAGAGTAATAAAAATATACCTCCATATCCGTGTGCACAGGAAAATATCAACCAACCAATACACAAAGCCCATGTGGATCGTTGGAAAGAATTGATAAAGTTATCCGCAGTTTGATTGTCCCAATCCGGTTGCAAAAGAGGATAGTTGCAGAATATTACAGCTGAAGATAATATTATTGCTATCAGCCATAAAGAAACCACTTGAATCTGTAATAACAGAAGCAATTAAAGATCTAGTTTTTGCTATTTATACTATATTATATATACTATACTATATATATACGGAAGCTCATATATTGGTTCCGAATAATGTAGTTTTGTATAAGTTAAAGATTTTTTAAAATAGGTCAATTAATTTGAGTGTCCATTATAGTAAAGATATTGGTAGTTCCGTTACTCCTATAATTGTTACTTTTGCAAACACATTTGAACCCTGTCATATTAGGATTAAAAATGTAAATAAAATAGGAATTGTCAGTAATGCCACTTAGTATACATAGTAACATAAATACTTTATTGAAAATTAGCATTATTATTTAGCTGATAAAGTATATCTTTTGATTACCTTGAACGTTGAAAGGATATTGGAAGCAAGTTCATTGAACTTATAGTATGTTCTATATAAATATAATATTATACCTAACCTAAAGTTGAATAACATAAAATTGCAAGAAAGTTCATTGGACTTATTGTATGTTCTATAAAAATATATACCTACTGAGTTACATAACATAACAGTAAAGTCAATGAATTTTCTTTAAATTGTCAATTCCATAATAGGGTAATTTGGCTATAAAATATTAATACTACTATTTAGACAAAGAAGGGCGATTGTGTGTCTGTATGGCAATATTACCTATTACAGTCCCGAAGTTGATTACTTTGTAAGCTGTATTTCTGTTGTAGGGTGCGAATATAATAGAATTAGGCAATGAAATTACAGGATAAGAGATATCTTAATCCTTCAGAATGGCAATGCAAGAATAATAGTGCGGGTACATAATAACGATGTTCCTGGTGCTGTTCATATAGGACTGACGGTTGACAATTTCCATTAGGCAGACTCCCGTTTCGGTTACAAAAAAAACAATACTCATATATGTAGTACAGATCATCTATACAATTTGGCACTTTGTCATTGTAACATTTTTGCCAGCTTCTAACGTTTGTGAACAATTAGACTATTAATGTTATTTTGACAAGGTACAACGATGTTAGTAACGATTATAGGATCAACGAACTTATTTATTTTTTCTGTGTCATTAGAGAATTGATAAAGAATAATGCTATCGGATCACTTTGAAGGTCAAATAGATATAGTTGATAAAATACTGTAAGGTATATTCATAATTTTTAGTATATTAATAATTGTATAGCATACGACAATTAATAAATTTGCCCTAAATATTTATTATCTAAAGCTGATTAGTTGTTTCGAAGTGCTTGTTTGCCATGTTTATGCATAATATTTTTTTGTCTTATAATTATAATAATAGGTAAGTTAATGGCTCATGTTTTGGTTAATTGATACTTTCTCAAAAATCTGATAAAATTAGTCAGTTTGATCTATTACAAAAAAAAACTATTATTAAAAGAACAAATACGATTCAAAATATAATATATGTTTAAAAAAAAAAAAAATACCTTCGGTATCATGATTTTTTTTCCTTTACAGAGATGTAGCACATAGCCAATAATCATTCCCACAAAAAATGGGGGAGCTCTTGTCAGGGTGTTTACATAAAATCCAGTATCGTAATTAGGTTGGCCCTCCTTTGGTTCACTACAATAAATAATATATATTTTAAAGCAATAATACGATATACAATAAAATAGTCTTACCTACAAAATAAAATATTTGACTAGAGGAATTCAACATACATATAAATATATATATCCACAAAATTTTCAATCCATTTATTTAAGTGTATTTTGTAGCAGATATCTCTGATCAAAATTATTAAAGTACTCATAAAAAGTAATACATTCTACAAACAGATTTTAACTATTTAAAGATATTGCGACATTCTTTATATAAAAAAAAAATAATAAGATTATTAGATAGTTGACATTTTAATAAACAAAAGCTTTAAGTATATTTTAACAAAATTCTAATAAAAAAGAAGCACTTATTTACCTAACTGTTATCGAGGCAGAACGAAATCCCATTATGAAATTAAATGTAGTAGCGGCACTTAGTGATATTAATAAACCAGAAACCAATGCTACCCAAGCAGTTCGCTTTCTTCCGCTAACTACCCAAAAGAGAATGAGAGGTGATAATACGAAAAGCTGGAAATCAATCGCCAAGTACCAGGTATGAGGCAGACACTAAAAAATAAGAGCATATTACGTATACACAAGTTTAAAAAGAGCTTTAGGCTTAGTACTTTGAATTGTACCCAAGAGGTCATGAGTTCAAATAAATATTTTTGTGTCAATTTACATATATTTCTGACTAAGTATCTAGTGAAGAAATCACCAATTTAAAATAATCCAAGAAACGGTAGGTTCGCCCCCTGATACCTGATTAAAATATACCGAGCGGTTGTAGGCATGTCAAGTTCATCGTAACATCGACAGTTAAAACAATGTTGACTGCTCCAGCAGCGATGACAGTAATGGTAACAGTAACGGTGTATTTTATGTCAATGAGAAATATTCTGATTGATAAAGATTGGAAAATTATGAAATTTAAATTAACGCATTTGTTTCATTTAATTAAACTTAAATTTAGAAGTCTCTAAAAGTCTGTGCTTATGACACAGAAATATTCCTAGTGATAGTATATCACTTTGTCAAGTAAAAAAGGAGTTTAGAACTTATTGTAATTAGCTAAGAATATCTCGATCTTATCGTCTTTGAAACAAAAATAGAACAAGAAAGTGTGTTATATATTTATACAACTTAATAAAAACCGAATAGCTGTAATTATATAATTGTTCTCTATATTTATCTGTTTGTTATAATCACTTTTATTTTCCTTCTACGTGCATATAAAATATTGATTCTATGAGGAGATTACAAAAGTAAATGGTTGATAAAATTAATTGAGTTTCATTTTTATAGGTTTACAGGTACATAAAATTAAATTTTAATGCTTAGATAATACGTGTGTTAATTTATTCGTCTGATACTTAGGACTTTATTCGACTAACCAGTAACAGTATTATATTATTGTATCCACGTATAAATTTAAGTCTAGTCACAATTATCGAGTAGATAATATTATTTTTAACAACGACTACATATATAGGTGATATAACTTTTACATATCTGTAGTATCGTAGCTCTTAAAAGAATAACCGATTATAATAAATTTTTGTTTGAAATCTGACATGACCGAAACGGCTCTTAGATATAATACAAAAATAAAAAAAGATTATCTAGTAGATGATAATGAAATTTTGCAGTTTATGTTAACTGTAATGAATTTACGAACTAAGCGCTGGTTAAATTTAAAAATTTGTTGTGACAAATATAATCGGAAAAATATTCATTTTGTTATTATAGACATAAGATCTTTCTGATTTACTAACAACAAATTAAAAATAAAACTAACCGTAAATCCAGGGCTATAGAAGTTCTGTATATATAATAACGTTGGCCACCAATGCACTCTGCATTGGTGAGTTTGTTGAGCAACGGTACCCCAAGCTGGCCCATCAGTAACTTGATTAAAAAAAGATGCTTGTAGGAGAATAGTAGCAGCCAGAATAGGGAAAAGACGTAGATAACGATTCAGGTAGAAAAGGTGAATATTCTTCACAAATTTTGCTGAAAACAAATATATAAGACAGAGTATTAATGTCAACAACGCAATTATCAAAACATGCATCCATTACTATTGTATTAATATAATATTTAAAATAAATACCTCAAGTTTGCTAATTCTGTATATATATACTACTACTCATTACCTATATACTAACGGATAATAATTTATTGTATCATATTTTGCGACATACATTCGATATATATATATATATATATATAGAGGTTGTTGATCCGAACACAATGGTTTGAGGCTTCAACACGAAACGTGGCGGATACAGTGACGACATACCATCACAATTGTTACCCCTGGTGTACGCAATACTTAACATGCTCAGATTGTCTATGTTTTAATACAAAAGTTAGTAATATACTTAATAATAATCTAAATTGAATAGACAAAGATGTTTTTAGAAAAATCCGTATCACTAGATTAGCCATCCGTTCATATTATTATCATATTATTACTTTTCTTAATAATTTTAAATATTAATTGAATAAACTATTGCAAAATAACTTACATCTTGTCATTTTTCCCGCTGTTGTATAAACTAATAAAATACCAGTTATCGTAAAGAAGGTATCAACTGTAATAGGAGCTGTTGTAATCCAAAGAGACCAAAAGGAGGATATCCACTGCAAAATACATATATATAAATAATTATGTTCTAATGTAATTTAAAAGAAATAAAAGTAATTCTGCAAAATATTTTAAATTTCGGTCTAAAAGCTAGTTGTATTCCAGATTTTCAGGTTGAAATATGGTATTGATTGCCATATTCTACTACATGGGTTATCAGTTTCTGTGACATTTAAATGGTAAAGGCTCATGTTATTTAATTACTAATTTTCTGCAATTCTTGTTGCTAACTTTTCTCACTTACGTAGAAAGCATCCAGTGGGTTCCACATTGTAGCTCCTACCAATTGGTTGGCAAACGTATGACCAATTATAACCCACATCATTGCAAATGCCCTGATTCCATCCAAACATTCCACAGCTCCAGGAACGGCTTTATAGGTTACTAATCGTCGTGTATTTGTGTATATTGAGAAGGACTGATATAATTTGTTCATAGTTTTTGGATCTAGAGAAATAAGAGTATTATATTAATTTTATGCAACAAAAGATGTGTATTTACATCTTTTAACATGAATAAAAAAACCAAACAATGGTAAATATTAGTTTAAAAAAATTATATTTAAAATATTCTTTGTATAGGTTAACACATACCTTTTTTCAGAATTATCACGTGACGAATGTCGTAAGATGTACTCAAGAGAGTTAATAGACCAATAGTGGAGAATATGGCTCTAAAATAAGATAAACTTTTCTAATATAATTGTATTTATATAAACCAACAAAAAGAGATATAAATAATAATGATACAATATTTAATATTTTCAAATTATTAAATAGTTACAAATTTAAGAAAATTCATGTTCATCGCTATAGGAGAATCACTATGAATAATTATTACATGCACAGATAATAATAATTACAGATAGTGAATACAGTTAATGAATAAAAATAATATATATTAATATATTTAGCAATTTACATACATAGCCACATAATCCACAGCTATCCAAGGTTTGTCATTTGGAAGTCTGCAATATCGCTCTCTGATCTCCAATCTTTCTCCACCAAAATTGCCCAACAGATTATTTATTGTTATGTTCACAGAACAAGGTTTTGGAATACAAACGGCCAGATTGAATGCCAAATTAGGTAACTGATTATTTGAGATATCATTTCTGAAAATTTATTATACATTAAATGGATTCATAAATATTATATTTATTATAAAAATAAAATTTAAACAAAAAACAATAGTCTTTATATTATGAGTAACTAAGTCGAAACAGTGTCTAATCTGTTCAACGTATATTTAAACATATATAAAATACAATTGTGCAGATGTCGTTAACAATATTGGTCTATCTTTTCTATTCATTATAAATGTTTTCGGGCGAATTGTAATAAAAAATAAAAATACAAGAAAATAAACAATGTAAAATTCTATATTACATAACTTACCTCAATGTATTTTCCATTGTTAAACCTAGTATTTTATTAAATTCCGATTTTAGCCATTTATATTTTATTAAAGCGTCGTATGTTTTCTTTTTTATACGTGTTGTATTTGAATTTAACTCTGGCCATGGAAGATCTGGCCACGATATGTCTTTCAACTTTGATTCCTCAGGTACGTTCATTATATTAAAATTTTGATTTAATGGAACATTTACCATGCAATATTTGCCTTCAATACTCATATCTTCCACTTTTTCTTGTATTTCCAAACATTCATAGTAACTGCCCATATCAACTAAATTTCCCTTTAATATACCTCGAGGAGTTCTTGGTCCCGAGGTCAAAACTAGAAACATGTAGTTGATGTTCATAAAAAAGCATAATTAATTTGAATATAGAAAACACAATTAACACTGTCAGGACGTTATTAAATACAATATCACTATTTTTTTTTTTAAAAAAAAGTGAGAAGAATTTACTATCAGAGAAGAGCTAACCGAAACTCTTTGTAAAAAGCATTATCGGAATGTATTATTACCATTTCTTCAAAGTTTGTACTATTGAAGTAATGTTGCATTCATTATTTCGTTTACAACAAACTGTAAGAACAAATTAATATACAATATAATTGTTGGTCCATACTTACATTGGCTTAGAAGAATATTATCATTTAAAATGTATCTTATTTGTTCCACACATTGTTCTGCATCTAATACTTCTTCGTACAAATTGAGATCAAACACATTTTTGTTATCTGGTACAACCATTTGAACATGGCTATTTACAGTTACAGCAATTAAAGCTATAATTATTAAAATTAATTTGAACAACATAGTTATTTATTATTCCAAACAATTAAGTTATTAACCACTAATATCATACGCGTCAGTGTTTTATGATTAAAAATATATTTAAGCGTTCTAATCTAAACGTTATATTTATATATATATAACAGGTAATCTTATCTATAATATTGCCAATTTGTAATTTATCGATCTCATATTAAATTACTATGCCTGGCGTTGTGGTTGATTACTTGATAAAGAATCTCAAGTTCTACTTTTTTAATTAAACACGTGTTTTGATCATAGGTAAGTTATTTGCAATATGACCACCATGCGAGCAGCGCAGGACTGATCGTCGTAGAGATCTTTGGGGGAGGCCTATGTCCAGCAGTGGACGTCTTCCGGGCTGCGATGATGACGATGACCATCATCATCATATTAGCCCGCCTGTTCGGTGCTCGGCTGCTTGCATCCAACGACTTCCAGCGATCTTCACCAGATCGTCGGTCTACCATGTCGGAGGCCTTCTCACGCTGCGTCTCCGGTCTGCGGTCGGTACTCAAAGTCTTTACTGCCCCAACGGTCATCTGTCTTACGAGCTACTTCACTTTCGCAATTCTTCGGGCTATCGGTCGGTCACTTTAGTTCTTCTGAGGATATCTTCATTTCTGATAAGTGCACGCAGAGAAACGACGAGCGTAGCCCATTGCTCTAAAATAAAAACTCGTATCTAAAAATAATATAAATTTCTAAAAACTAGTTCAGTGTAATGTATAGTTCATATCTATTTGATATATAATATTTCAATTGGAAAAATAATAACATATCGTTGATTTGTATTGCTATTACATATTGTACTGCTATATTTTAGATTTATAGCAGGGTCATAATTGTTATTATTTACTTTAAATTGATCTTAATTCAACGGTTGTACACATCGGGGATGTAATTATTGATTCAGGTACATAATTAAGTCTAATCAGCCCAAGGGTAATGAACCAGGTAGTCAAATCATAATCTACATCTACTTTAGATATGAAGATAATATATATATTGATAAAACGTAATACATTTTTTTTTTCAAGACAAAAATAAAAGCAATCTGGGTTTCATCACGTGTCCTACGTATGGTACTTGAGGATTATATATATAATCTACGAGTATCATTCTTCTATTCAATAGTTATATATCACTAGCTGTGCACGTAGTTTCACCCGCATTAAATTCCATTATTGTCGTAAAGTTCCATTAAAATCCGTTTAGTAATTTTTGTGTGTTAGAGTGAAATTGAATATTCAATTTAGACTTCCGGAGAGAATTACAAAAAATCTTATTACCTATAATTACGTATTCATAATTATAGTTAATGCGATTTTTTATGAATTATATATAGACATAATGATGATATTTTACTATTAAACTACGACGCTTAGTCAAAATCTATACTTTTTGTTAATATTATAGGATATATAGGAAGAAGGAGATTTTATTTCTTATAGAGAAGACTTTCTACGTAACTAAATATGTTACGTAGAAAGTGCGGAATGGTTGTGTAATGCACTGATTGAAAACTCATAATTTATATATCCATCGTAGCTCCCGTATGATATTCTTCTGAAGTAGCCAAATATATAATTTGTAAAACAAAGTAATGTGTTATATTAGGTAGAGACTTCTTACGAAGTAGGTAATTATTTATAGTATAATAATATTTTTACCAGGGCAAACCTAGTCTAAAGTCGTCTACATGGGCATCTCTATGTCGCCCATGTGTTTCATCCATCATAAAGCAGATTGATTTATATGCTCTATTTTACTTGAATATTGAAATGACTACAGACGAAGACACCTTATAATTAAATCGTAGAAATGTTGTCGTGGACGTCGTATGATTACGAGGTTCTTCGTGCTGTTGTAGTAAACACGAGTGGGTGTGCAGCATTTTTCCAGTGTATTTAGATAAGAAAATTAATCTAAGTGAAATGGGAAAAAATCGTTTATATAAGCATTTATCACATATTTATTAAATATAGATTTACCTAAAACTATACTAATATTTAGTTACAAAAACATATATGTTAAATAAATAAAAGTAACTAAAAATGTTACTCGTACATATTTTTATGAGTTTATTTACATGTTTGTTCTAACGAAAGTGAATTACAATTAGTTTGTCATTTTAATTCTCGGTGCCTGGTAATGAGATGGTGATAAAGGCAGAATTTTATAACATTTTGCTTATTTAAAAAAACATTTGTAATATTGCATTTTACTTCACAGTAAACATTGATGAAGAATGATGAATTAATGAATTAATGAAGTCTTCACATAATATTAGTATCGGCGAATTGGCTTTTACGAAAGGATTTGAAATATTATAATAACGATAAATATATATAGGAGACTTGAAAGTAATACAACGGAAGTATCTACGGATAATCTAAAGTAATTTATATTAGTATCACAGAACATACAACAAGTTCTCTCTCTCTAATTTTTAAACGAGTTCATGTGATAACAGAAAAATATATAAAATAAATATTTATAAAATTACAGAGATAGCAATATGCTTTATTTAATACTATCTACTTATTACTTTGTAGTAGACTTAACATACCTATAAATTGAATTTAATTTAAATTTTAATAAATAAGCATTTGATGAGCCAATCCAAAATCATCAAGGAGGTACTGCTTATATAAAAACATATTCCAAAATAACTCTAGTATCTAATCATGAGGTGATTTGGTGTCGCTAATCCTGTCCCTGCTTCGGACCATCAGCGGTGGCTGGTTTGACTTGTGCCACCTTCTTTGGACCTACAAATAAATATAAATTTAACCCATATTTCATAGTATTTTATATTATATTTAATAATAAAATGCAAAAGTACATATGACTGTTTATGAACATAAGGATATCCATCATAGGTTATCTTTTATCACACAAAAAGACGGCGTTATTGGTAGCAGCTATTCTGTTAGGGTAAATTATAAATAGTCATCAGCGTGGGCTTAGTCTCACCAATTTCAGTCGCTAAACAGCTTGCTTTATAAGTTACTAGCTGTCCCGGCAAACGTTGTTTTGCCATATAAATTAATAACGCTATATAAAAATAGGGGTTGGTGATAGAAGGGTGAAAATTAGGGTTGTATGTATCATGTAGGTTGGTTGTATGTGTAAAATGTTAGGGTTGTCCAAACCCTTATCACTTAGGAGTATGAAAAATAGATAGTAGCCGATTCTCAAACGCAAAATTGGGCAAACGAAGCGGTGATGAGCTGAGAGTGGGGCAATTTGGTGTCGGTGATCGGAACTTCCGAGGTCAAATGCTGGCCGACTTCATGGAGAAGGAGAACCTCTTTATGATGAACTCCTTCTTCAGGAAGCCGGAACACCGGAAATGGACGTGGATTAGTCCCGATGGTGCCACAAAAAACGAGATAGATTTCATCTTGTCAACGAGAAGACAGATTTTCATTGATGTCTCTGTGATCAATGCCGTCAAAATTGGGATCGTATCGTCCAAACCCGAATTTTTGAGGGAAATTGAGAAGTTCTATGGACAGTTATACACGACAGCCTACTTCGGACGGTAATGGAAGATCTGCCATAGAAATACCCACACCATCCGAAGCGGCGAAGGGCGTAGACACCAACGCCAAACCCGCCAGAGGCAGCTTTCCCCAGCCAAAGGGGACCTCGCAGACGAGGATCCCCAGTTTCAAGACGGGACGGAAAGATCGCGGCAGGAGCGCCACAGCTTCCAATCGCAACCCAAAGGGACGCCCACGTCCCACAGGGAAGGCGAAAGGAAGCTGCTAACACGCCCACACGCAAGAAATGTATCAGAGCCAACATTGTCCAGGTCAACTTATATATATGCTATGGCAGCAACAGCGGTCATAGAAAACCTCTTCCATATATATATATAATATATATATAGACCTTGCTCTGATACAAGAGCCATGGCTCAACAAAGCCACGCCTTTAGGCCTCAATGCCTCAGGTAATATTCTTTTTAATACCACTGGCACTAAACCTAGAGCATGCATTCTTTTTAATAAGAAACTAGATTTTCTGACTGTTCCAGAACTATGTACAGATGACCTAGTGACAGCCTTCGTCAATTTCCCTGGATGCACAGGGTCAAAAGTACTGGTCTGCTCTGCATACCTACCTGGACATGATGTAAACAACAAAATCATCAAAGACCCGACAACCGGCCTACAGCCTGTGGTGGAATACGCCCGTAAGCACAAGGCCGAACTCCTCGTGGGCTGCGATGCAAACGCCCATCACACAAACTGGGGAAGCTCTGACATCAACACCAGAGGTAAGTCACTTGATATATTTTATACTAACCAACTGTCTTCAAATCCTAAATACAGGGTGCACACCGACGTTCGTCACTGCCACAAGACAAGAGGTACTAGATATAACACTCGCGACCGACAAACTGGCCGAATATATCACTCATTGGCATGTCAGCAATGAGAACTCCATGTCTGATCACAAGCACATCAGATTCACAATTGAGGCTGCAACAGACTCAAACCCCATACTCTACAGAAACCCAAAGGCTACAGATTGGCCTAAATACAGAGACAGTCTTACAAGCCTAATTGCGGACCTTCCGAAGAGTATCAAATCTCCTCTAGAACTAGAACTCGCTGTGGACATACTTCTAAGTGGCATAATAAGTGCCTACCAGAACAACTGTCCCATCAAAACCAAAACCGCCAAATGTAAAACACCCTGGTGGAATAAGAGTCTAGAAAAGCTGAGGAAGAAAACTCGCAAATTATCCAACAGGGCTAAAAAACCTTTCGAATGGGCCCAATATAGTAAAGCCCAAACGGAATACTACTGCGAAATTAGGAAAGCCAAAAGAGCATCATGGCGTGCTTTCCGCGAGGAGATAACTCAGACTCCCCAAGGATCCAGATTACACAAAATGCTTGCCAAGGCGCCAAATAACCAAATTGGACTTATGAAAAGGCCCAATGGTACCTATACGACATCAGAGGAAGAAACTCTACAGCTGCTATCTACAACCCACTTCCCTGGTTCGGTTCATATCTCAAGAGATAAGGAGAATCCTCCAAGCTCACATCTACAAAAGCCCAACCATGAGGCGTGGAACAGAGCTGCGAGGATTTTTCGACCAAAACAAATTATATGGGCTATAAAATCTTTCAAGCCATATAAATCATCGGGAGAAGATGGAATTTTCCCGGCCCTGTTACAACAAGGGCTTGACATCCTATCTCCCTATCTGGTAAGAATATTTAGAGCCAGCTTTGCCTGGGGTTTTATACCAGAACCATTAACGAAGGTCAAAGTTACCTACGTACCGAAAACCGGTCGACGAGACTACTCGCAGCCAAAGTCTCACAGACCTATAAGCCTAACCTCTTTCATAATAAAAACCATGGAAAAGGTTCTGGACCAACACATTAGAGCTACAATCCTCGAAAATGCTCCCCTGCACAGGAATCAATATGCCTACCGCAAGGGACATTCCACAGAGACCGCCTTGCTCGATTTCACCGACAAGGTCGAGAAGCCATTTAGGACAAACAAATAGCTCTATGTGCATTTCTCGATATTGAGGGTGCTTTTGATAACACGCCCATAGAGACCATCTCACAGGGACTCATCCGCAAGAAAGTGGATGAAACCACCACTCAATGGATCAAAGCAATGCTCTCAAATCGAACCATTAAAACTACTCTTCACAATAGTACGTTAGAATTCCAACCTACCAAAGGATGCCCTCAAGGAGGCGTTTTATCGCCACTGCTGTGGCTACTAACGGTAGACCAGCTCTTAGATGTTATGACCAAAAACCAATTTGAGGTACAAGGCTACGCAGACGATTTAAAAATCATGGTCAGAGGGTTCTGTAACAACAATATCAGACCGCATCCAAAGAGCACTAGACATCATAGTTAAATGGTGTAAGGAAAATGAATTATCAGTAAATCCTGATAAAACAGTAATTGTTCCGTTTACAAAAACTGGAAGAAACTTGACAAACTTGTCATGCCTAAAGTAAATGGAAGAATATTAGAGTGCTCCAAAGAAGTCAAGTACCTGGGCGTAACCTTCGACCAAAAACTGACATGGAACACACACATAGACAACATAACTCAAAACACGAAAACATCCCTAGGTATAAGCCGACGGATACATGGCCCAGATGGGGAATCAACCCCAAAATTGCCCTATGGCTTTACACAGCAGTGGTGAGACCGCTTACCACCTATGCCTGCGCTATCTGGTGGAGGAAAACCCTCCAATCCACAGCCGCCACCAAGCTAAACAGCCTACAGAGAATTGCTTGTCTGATTATTACAGGAGCCATGAGCACCACGCCGGGAGCAGCTCTAGACGCATTATTGGACTTGACGCCCCTTCCTTTATTCATACAGGAAAAGGCGAAAGCCAATATGCTCAGAATAAGTTCCCAAAGGAGGATATCTTGGCATTCCCTGGCCATAAAAACTATACAAGACTCGATTATGAGTGATCCTATTCTGGGAATGCCTGAAGACAACATGGCACCAGAGTGTAACTTTGTACAATATTACAAAATCGAAATATCTGGAAGAGACGAATGGCAAAATAACCATACACCGTCTCACTCAGAGCATGACCTAGTCTGGTTTACAGACGGGTCCAAAATAGGAGATGATGTAGGATGTGGAATATGTGGTGTAAAACCCAAAATCTGCAACTATATAGGCTTAGGAAAATACGCCTCAATCTTTCAGGCAGAGACTTACGCCTTAATTAGATGTCTGGAAGTAATCCTAAGCCTCAACTACATCAATCAGAACATATACATTTATTCGGACAGTCAAGCTGCTCTACTAGCACTTAACTCGTACGAAATCCGTTCTAAACTTATTAGAAACTGTATCCTGCTACTAAATGAAGTAGGAAGCAGAAATAATATTATTCTGAGATGGGTCCCCGGGCATTCAAATATTGAAGGCAATGAGAATGCCGACCATCTGGCAAAGTTAGGGGCAAAAACCGTCCAACTGGGCCCCGAACCCTTCTGTGGTGTGCCTCGTTGCCTAAAACTGGGACATCTCAAATTAATAACCAAACGAGAAGCACTGAATCACTGGCAAGAAATGCCAGGATTAATACATTCAAAAGACCTTATATATTCTCGACCAAATACTCCAATCGATTACTGCTATTGAGTAAAAACAACATATGCATGATGACTAGGGCCCTCACAGGACACTGCAAATTGAACAAGCATATATAATCTAAGCTAGTATGCACGACTAGTATCTGCAGATTCTGCCAAACTGAAGAGGAAACGCCGCTTCACATCCTATGTGGTTGTAGCCCACTCATGCATAAACGAAATATCTCCTTTGGAAAGTTTACACTCCTTCCCGAGGAGATAAAAACGATCGCTCCTAAGAATATCCTTCAATTCTTGTCCCTGACGGGTCTAGGTAGCGAACTATGAAAAGGGCGAGCACAATAGATCTTTGTAGGTCGCAGTGCTACAGGTGCTACACATCTGACAATAGCCCAAACAACCCAATAAAAAAAAAAAAAATATATACACGACAACACGGGCACCTGTTAACAACACGGCGAAAGACCCTAGAGCCAAATTATATACCGAAGATATCCCGGACGTCAGCCTGTACGAGATTGGTATGGCTCTTAAACAACTTAAAAACAACAAGGCGCCGGGCGATGATGGAGTTACTGCTGAGCTTCTGAGGGCTGGAAGTAGACCTGTTCTACGAATCCTCCAGAAGCTATTCAACTCCGTCATCCTCGAGGGCAAAACGCCTCAAGCATGGCAAAAGGGTGTGATGGTTCTGTTCTTCAAGAAGGGATACAAATCGCTTCTGAAGAATTTCAGACCCATAACACTGCTGAGCCATGTTTATAAGTTGTTTTCGAGAGTCATCACGAATCGTCTCGCGCGCAGGTTTGACGACTTCCAGCCTCCCGAACAAGCCGGGTTCCGAAAAGGCTTCAGTACCATAGACCACATTCATACGCTGCGGCAGGTAATTCAGAAGACCGAAGAATACAACCTGCCACTTTGCTTGGCGTTTGTGGACTATGAAAAAGCCTTTGATTCGATTGAGACGTGGGCTGTGCTACAGTCTCTCCAGCGGTGCCAAATTGACTATCGATATATCGAAGCGTTGAAATGTTTGTATGAAAACGCCACTATGTCAGTTCGCCTCCACGACCAGAATTCGAAGCCTATCCAACTGCAGCGAGGTGTCAGACAAGGCGATGTCATATCGCCAAAGCTGTTTACCGCTGCGTTGGAAGATGTCTTCAAGCTTCTGGACTGGAGCGGGCTGGGCATCAACATTAACGGCGAGTACATCAATCACCTCCGATTTGCCGACTATATCGTGGTCATGGCTGAGACCCTGGAAGACCTTAGCAAAATACTTGAAGACCTCAGTAGAGTCTCACAAGGAGTAGGTCTTAAAATGAACATGTACAAGACGGAAATCATGTCAAACGCCCATGTTGTACCTCTCCCGTAAAAATCGGTGATTCTACACTCGAAATTGTCGATCACTACGTATACTTAGGGCAAACTATCCAGCTAGGTAGATCCAATCTCGAGAAAGAGGTCAACCGTCGAATCCAACTCAGATGGGCAGCGTTCGGGAAGCTCCGATATATCTTTTCGTCCAAATATATCCGCATCATTCCAAGATGATGATAAGACGGAGGTTTACGACCAATGTGTGTTGCCAGTGATGACTTACGGAACAGAGACGTGGTCGCTAACTATGGGCCCCATCAACAAGCTCAGAGTCACTCAGAGGGCAGAGGGCAATGGAGAGGGCTATGCTCGGAGTTACTCTGCGTGATCGAATCAGAAATGAGGAGATCCGCAGAAGAACCAGAGTGACCGACATAGCCCGAAGAATTGCGACTCTAAAGTGGCAATGGGCAGGGCACATAGCTCGTAGGACAGATGGCCGTTGGGGCAGTAAAGTCCTCGAGTGGCGACCACGGACCGGAAGACGCAGCGTGGGAAGGCCTCCAGAAAGGTGGACCGACGATCTGGTCAAGATCGCTGGAAGGCATTGGATGCGAGCAGCGCAGGACCGATCGTCGTGGAAATTTTTGGAAGAGGCCTTTGTCGAGCAGTGGACGTCTTCCTGCTGCTGCGATGATGATGATGATGATGATGAGATACGATGTGATTAGGCTACGAAGTGAAATTACATGCTAAGAGGCATGACATCTTAGTAATGACAATGCTTGTGTGATGTCACGGGTGGCTAATAATGTAATATTGTGATATACGTAGTAGTGCTCATGTGTATAGCGACAGTTACGTAGCTTATTATTATGTGAACTATCAGCATGTTCAGTCATTAAAAATGTCATATAAAAAAATATGCCTTATAAGATCGCCAATGTATGTATTGAAATACCTTTCAATATGTACTTGATTCATTTAATTAGATAAGTAAATAATAATGATTATATATGCAAATTTATCTAATGTCTGATAAGGGAATTTTTATGCTACGGAGGCATGACATCTTAGACAGTAGAGATATTAACGTATGAAGGGTAATCACGAATAATACGTGACGATGTTGTCTGTACTATTTTTTGTCTGTTTTAGTTGATTTTCATCAGGTGGACCTTCACCAATATTTACACAAAAATAAATGAACAGTTGATAAATAATTTGATTGTTATTTTTATGGTACACTAAATTGTTATTTTCATAGTAAACTAATCCTTATTAACATATAAAAAGATATTATGGACAATATGTGACATTTCTTTGTAATTGTAAAGGCAAACAAGAATCATAAAAAAAAAATCCCGACGGGACAACCCAAGATAGATTGTCCTGGCGCCGCAAAATTAGAAGCACCGACCCCACATAAAATAGGACCGCGCTAAGAAGAAAAAGAAGAAGAACGAATGGCAAACAAGTCGATGGCCCACCTAATGGTAAGCGATAACCTTCGCCTATATACGTACATAAACAGAAATATACATCACGATATTATAATATCCTTCATACGTTAGCCATACAGGAAAACTAAGATCTCTTGCGTTTTATCATGTAATTTCACTACCTTATTTATCAAGTGGTCCAATAAAACACAGCTTACAAAACAAGCTACTTGGAGACTGTTATAAGTAAACAAATTAACCCGCAGACAACCTTTTACAAAGTCTTAGTCAGTAAAACATATTTTTTATTCTAAAACCAAGGCTCAAAATAATTGTTATAGTACTAACCTCCCATAAAATACTTTATCAGCACAGAGCAGGGTGCATCTACAAACATTGTAACTATGTATGCAGTCAAAAATGCAATTATGATATCTGACATAAACTTGCGAATCTGAAAAAAAATATATTTAGAATTAATTTGTTTGTTCAGCAATTAATGAAAAAGAGACCGATTTTAATAAATCAACGATATAATAAAATTTAAAATTGAATTTTAATTATAATTAATAATACTTCATTTATAAATGGAATTACATACAAAATTCTGATCGTGATGGTTAGAAAGTATAATTAAATTCTTTGTTTAGTAATTAATAAGAGACCGATTTCTTTTAATTAGACTATTAACTAGTCTCGCGCCTTACATTAATTTTCAAAGTAGTAAATTCTAAATCTAGGAAATCACAAAATTCATATCACTGCGCTACCTTCAAACTAGTTTTATTTTTATTTTTGCAGTGAATAATTATTATGATTATATGGATCTTGAATAAGATACTATTTTCGTTTACGAAAACATAGATTTACATGAGAACTTAATATTTCTATAAAATTGATATATTGAAGTGTCCTATTAATATACTTAAAAGTTTTCAAATATTCAAGTATTGAATAGAAAATGTCGAGTGCATCATGACCTGTTTATTATACAGTGGTTTATTATATAGTTGAGTTGAATTGAGAAGGAAAACTTTATACGTCTATTTGTATTTCTAACTACAATAATCAGTTCTAAACCAAATTAATCCGAGAGATACTGGTACACCCTCATAAGTTGGATCAAAATTCAATTATACTCAGCGAAATACTCAACATATACATTCACCACGACGTCGACAGTTGACAATGTCCTCTGATTATTCTAACTAAGATAAGTTATGAAGGTTTAATTTTACTATTTCTCTTATGAGTACATAAGTTTTTAATATTTATCTATTGAAATGAGTTTGTACTTAAATCAGTACTTACAGCAGTTTCATCTGACATGTATACAGGAGTTACTGAGGTACCATTAACCAGAATCATAAGTGGATAATGAAAAATGTACATAGCATAAGATAATCTCGCCAACACCTTCCACATAGGAAGACACAACACCCAGTTAACAGGACCTGAAATAAAATAGAGATGTAAATCAGACTTATACCTACATCGATTGGTACAAACAGCGTCGTCTATTGTTAAGTCCAAATTATGTCGAGCTTGTGTTATAAGTACAAGACAACTTAGGTATACTTTTTTTTTGTTGTAATACCAATAGAAAACAATAGAAAACACCAACACCAATAGAAAATACCAAAATAAGTGCAACAAGATGTACACATTAATACAGTATTTGGATCGCGAGGATCGAACCCGCAACCAACGAAAAGTAAGGTAAAAGGTTTTCGTTTAAGGTACAGGCCTACTTCATATGGTTTAAGTGCGTAAAAATGTCACACACATCCGTCAGGTTGAAGACTTTTCGTAGGTTAAAAAATAAAAAAAATTTAACATTTTAAACTGACAAGACTATATAAATTTAGGATCAGATTTGGAACATGTGCAAAACCATTTCACATTGCGGGTTAATAAAAAAAAAATACCTCCATATCCATGCACACAGGCAAACACCATCCAGCAAACACACAAACCCCAAAGTGGCCTCATGAATGAATTGAGTATATTATCAACCGTCTGATTGTCCCAGTCCCTTTGTAAAGCAGGGTAGTTAGCACAAAGTATTCCAGATGAGACAATTAATGCCAGGAACCATAGGAGAGCAACTTGTAACTGAAAAAGAAGAAGAGATATTATCTCAATGCCTGAATGGAATATATAGTTCTGTTACTTGCTCATAATACATTTTTTCACAGTTGAAAGAATTTCTAAAATCGAAGAAGAATTTTTTGATATAATAATTCCAAATAAACAAAAAAATTCAATGATATTAGTATTATACTATAATAGTACTATACATTATTATTTTTAATTAAAAAATAATCCATTACTTCAGAGCGTAGTCTATAGGCATGATGAGAAATTTCACATCGTTCAAAAAATTGATACCTAAAGTAAAATATTTTTTTATGTTATTGAAATGGCAAAAAAGTGGTCTACATATATAAACAACTACATCATGTAGCACCTTCATACTTGGTCAGTTTAGGTGACCTTAGATATTATGGCTGCACTTTCACTGCAAAATGTGTTCAAAACTCAGCCTAATTTTAATCTATATATAAATAACATTAGAGTGCCTGTTTGTAATATTGAAATAACCGTTTTTACTACTACGATATATACACCAAAATAACATTTTTTGTCTGTCTGTCTGTTTCTTCCGGCTAATCTCTGAAATGGCTGGACCGATTTTAATCGAACTTTTATTGGCAGGTAGCAGATGTAATAAGGAGTAACTTAAGCTACAGCTAAAAATAAAGTTAAATTCCACGAGGATGAAGTCGCGTGTACAGCTAGTTAAAAATATGTCTTACTTTTGGGATATATATCTTCTTTCCACGATAAGTATGCAGAATATATCCAAATATCATTCCCACGAAAAACGGCGGCGACCTTGTGAGCGGGTTTATATAATAATAAGTAAAGTAATCTGGTTGACCTTCCTTAATTGGGCTGAAATAGAATACAGTACAAGTATAGTACAAGATTGATTTTTTATATAATTGACAACAGATTGTCCTAGCGCCGCAAAATTAGGAGACCCGACCCCGCATAAAGTGGGACAGTGCTAAAAGGAAGAAGAAGTATGCTAATGTATAAGATTACAATAAAAGCTATTATTGTTTAATAGCAGCAAATATATAGTCATAACTGTTTTCCTAGATTTGATAGCCGAAACCAACGTGATGTAGTAGCAAACATATCATGGATTTTTTTTAAAAGAGTGTCATTTAAGGTTCTAGATCATTCTTCTTGTGATAGTTTGCACTCTGAATCAGTAGTAGAATAAAACAATATTACTATTCAAAATTGTTATATTGTTTATTTGATGATTTTGTTTCCAGCGACGAGTTAGAGGGTAACAGCCAGAAATATATATATTTTTTTGTCTGGGATAGATTTAACTGTCGCCCTCTTGGGTATAAGTCATGGTAGTAAACCTTAAACTACGACGATCTCAATTGTATACTTTTTCGAGATAGCGAGATGGTGAATAGATATCTTCTTGGTAAACGCGCTACATCCTAGGTCTTGCCATCATTTACCATCAGATGAGGTAAGACCAAGCGCAATCCCATTATTAATAAAAAAAGAAAGATACAGTAAAGTACAGTAAATGTACAAGATGCGGAAGAATGACATCATTGTCCTCGAGAATGGAAACGGGTGAGTAAAACTATGGTCGTTACATGATATCCGTGGTTCATGTATGTAGACCACGGTTACCACATATGATTAGGATACCCGGCAGCTTATTTGACATCTTGGTTACAAAAACTATGTTCTATTTTTAAAGTAAGTTTTAATTTATTACTTACCTAAGAGTAAAAGGTCCAGCTTTAAATCCCATAATAAAGTTATATATTGTGGCTCCTATAAGAGTACCAATTAGACAAGTGCTTAATGTAATCCAAGCTGTTTTCTTGTTACTGCTGACCACAAAGTATAGAACGAAAGGAGATATTATGAAGAGTTGAAAATCTATCGCCAGATACCAAGAATGTGGTAGACACTGAAATAATACCAAAAAAAAATTCTTACTCACTATATCGGATGTATACGGTTTCAACTTTAAGGGATATAAGAAGAAAGCCAATGATAGTACACATGACTTTTAAAATCTTCATGTAAACTGAGAGATCAAGTCATTAATTTAGTGTAAGAAATTTTAAATTTAGTTTTTGCATGTACAATGTAGGTACACTGTAACTTTCATAGTGAAATTGGTTCAGTGTGTAGTTGTTTTAACTTTTGCTATCTTTTGTCTCTCAATAAATTAAAGAAAATAAACACAATAAAAGGACATTACAACTGTTATAAATAATGTTAACTCAGTAAGTCTCTCCCCAGTTTATACATTACGGATAATAAACAAAAAAAGTTATATTAAATTTAGTTTTATATCTGCCAGCATTCTGCAATAGCTAACATTTGCTAACATTTTTATGTTGTATAGCTAATATTTTTAAATATGAGTTAAGTATAAGTTAAAGCCTTTCAGATATAGCCATCTGAAAAATTCTACAGACAAAACTACCAGCAGGTTACGTTTAGTACCTCTATTTGATCCTGGAAAAGATGCCGTGATTAGTGAATTTGTCCTAGGGACTGCCGACGGTGGTGAAGGAGCTCAAGATGATGATAAGACAAATGTACCTATCAGAATTTAATACTAACCATGTATAAGGGACTATAATAATTCTGTATGTACAATAAAGTAGGCCACCATGATTTTCTACAATGCAGCGTTTGCTGTGCTACTGCCTCCCATGCAGGTCCGTCTGATACACGATGGAAGAGTGAAGCTTGAAGGAGTACACAGGTAGCCAGAACAGGGAACAGTCGAAGAAATCGACTTAAATAGAACAAGTGGAGGTTTTTCATGAGCTTTGCTGGAACATAAAAGAAATAAGCATTTTAATCACTTATGATATTTATTGTAAGCGCTCAGTGATAGTTGATTGAAATTATATAATGTTCAATAATGTTAATCATGTACATGTATGAAGGAGGGTTGTATTGTTCGTAATGAGGACTAGTCCCCCATCGTCACCAATATACTCATACAGGTCGATTTCCATACATGGACGTCCTCTTGTTTGCAATTGCAATACTAGTACCAATACGTGAGACCACTAAATACACCACCAGTGTGAATATTGTTACTTACTTGTCCATACATTTTATGATTTTTTACGAGAATAGAATACGTACCCCACCTGGCTAATGTCAAAACGCCAGTTAGTCCATTTACCAGGAATAAGTGACTATGACTCCCAGAAGTATCGCGTGGAGTTTGACCATAAGTAATTATTATAACCATTATTAACTATAGGGTAAAATATACCCCTATTCCACATTACTAATACCCCCAATCCCTTTGAATAATTAGAGATATAAACTTAAAACTGCACGATTAGGTACCTATTTACATAATTTGGATTCATGTAACTCCTACCATATGATATTGTACAACTCAAAGTTTTAAATCTAATACACGTAAAAAAAGATATCACTTTTAAATTAAGTTGTTTCTTGACATATTATTATACATTTGTATTTCAAATGTTTTCTTAAAGTGCGCCATCTATATTCCAAATAGAAAAATAAATTATATTTGAAATTCAACGTGTGCTTAAGTTAGCATAAGTTGTAGGATGTAAGCGCGACTATTGTTGTACGACTTGTACGATAGATGGCGCAGTACTACAAAATTTAGAATATTCATTTAAAATAATTGTTTCAATTAATTTCATAAGATATTTACCTAATATTATTGTTGTTACTGAGTCAAATTATATATTTTCAAACACGTAAAAGTATAATATTTTGATTTTCAACTAAATAAAATGATAATATTATTGCGTTCTTCAAATAAAGTATCACATAAAATCATAACTATGTGGATTACATATTTCCAAGGAGACTAGAGATATTTACTAGACACTAATTGACCAACTTACCTCCTGTGACTTTGCCTACTGTACTATATACCAGTAGGATGCCACTGATCACGAAGAAGGTGTCCACCGTAATGGGGGCTGCTGTTATCCATAATGACCAGAATGATTGTATAAACTGTAAGAATACAAAAAAACAATAAACAGAACGTTTAAATTTACAAAGTGTTAATAATACTTAAGAATAATTTAATATTTGATTATTTAATATTACAAAATATATTCACGGGGAAATAACTCGTTACAGTGTTCATGTATGTGTAGCAACATTCATAGATTAATTTACACTTTTTATATAGTATGATTTGTATCCAATCAATAAATTGTTATTTATCAATAAATTTACTCAGATTTCATCTGCTATTGTAGCTAAAAAAGAGTCATATACGTATTCTCAGTCTGTATCCTATTCTTCATTTTTTGTTGAAATGATAACAAACAGACGGAGAAGTAGACACTTTCACCTTTATAACACTAGCCGTTACTTGCGACTTCTTCTGCACAGACTTCCATCCTATTTCACCAGATTACTTCTTTATTTATTGGAATTATAAACAGTACTTTAAACTGTATAGTTTATTGTACACATGTATATGTGAAATGGTTTATGTATGTCTATATATAGGTATCTATTTACTTACTTCTGCTATTTTCAATGGATTATGCATTGGTGCTGATATTATATGAGTGATATATGCGTGTCCTATGACGACCCAAATCATTGCACATGCTCTAACACCATCCAAACATTCAAGAGATCCAGCTACAGGTGTGTAAGTCATCAACCTTCGAGTGTTAGTATAAACGGAAAAAGATTGAAGAAGCTTGTTCATCTTTTTTGGATCTGAAAAGAAGTAGCTTGCTTTGAATGATTTATTTCCTTCGAATGAATGAATGAATAAGTAGCTGGTCTAGCTCCACCAGACGGAATAGCTTATTGGGTCAAGTGCAGTAGGCAATCTACATGAGTGGAAGAATTTATGTTGCTACTGAAGACCAATTATCACTTTAGTCTCATAGCCTAAAATTTCTTGAACTCTTGAAATAACGATCTTTCGGTAAAGCTAAAAATTATTTTATTGATTTTGATAGCTCTAGTGAGGCAAGTCAATCGACTGTAAACTATACTGTATATTTTAATGTAAATATATAGTCTCTAATAATATTAACACATTATTACGTGCAGAGAATAAATGCAAATAAAAAATGTAAATTTACACAGAAGCATGTAGATCTTTATAGAGCAACTCACCTTTTTTTAAGAATATTTGTTGATGAATATCGTAAGAAGTGCTTAATAGCAGAAGTAAACCAAGAAATGAAAATAAAGATCTGCAACAAATAATGTTTATTTAATTAATATAATATACATGATTTTCTTACCTTCTTTCATTTAAATTATTAAAAGGATAAGAACATATTTCTTTCAACTGAAATTGCAAATGAATGTTTAAATAATTATATAGTTTTATAAATGAAATATCGTAATATATAAAAACGAAATGAGATTTTATTTATTATAATCATCGTCTTGATGAGATAGAATAAAAGATGTACATGACATCTTATACCTCTCGAATGTTAATACATAATTAATATCACAGGCATCACATGGTCGCACGATGTCCGTAGTGCAATCTATACATATAAATAAAATTGGAGTGTCTGTTTGTAACATTGAAATAAACGTTTTTTACTACATGCACATGAATATAAATGCGGTACATACAACAACATAACATTTTTCACAATTTTTGTCTGTCTGTCTGTTTGTTCTGACTAATGTCTGAAATGGCTGGGTCGATTTTGACGGGACTTTTTTTGGCAGGTAGCTGATATAATAAGGAAACTTTTAGACTTGGGCTTGGCAACCTTTGTGTAGAATATGGATTTTTTTTATATGAGCATACTTTCGGAATTATGTAACTTCTTTTTTAAAATGATTTAATAATATTGAATCATTATAAAACTCTTTAATAATTTCATTGTTATTTAAATAATTACTTATTTAGTGATCAAAATATTAACTACTAATATTTTTTATTATTAAATTATTTATAATTATTTGTTCATTTACTCACACAGTAACGTAATCTGCAGAAGCCCAGGGTTTGTCATTAGGAAGTCTACAATAACCTTCTTCCACTTGCAAATTTGTTGGTTGGAATTTTAATAAGAAATCCAGTGCATTCTCTAAAGAACAAGGTTTTGGAATACACACTGCAAATCGTATACTGGCATCAAAAGTTGGATTTACTTCTTCAGTTCTGAAATGCAATGTATATTATTAATGAGGGTTCCATTTCTATTTCATATATCCCGAGCCCTGAGGAAATTTCAAAGGCCAGCTAAAAAGACATGAATTGATCAGAAATATTATAAAGCTTTAATTGACCAAACAAAGGACTAAAAGACCAAATATATATTTCTGTATGTAAAATCTTATTAACTAGTTAACTGGTATTTTAAAAATCCTCACATAATATTCGATCAAGTTTAACATCATATGTATTTAATAAACTAGAATAAAGTATTACTACTAAACTAAAGTAGGTTTGTTGTTCAACAGTCCCGGCAAATGTTATGCAGCTTTTGCTATTGCTTTACGTTTTTATTCATTTCTCTCTATTGCGACTCAAGCCTCATAAAATAGACAATAATTTATACAAATATGTATTGCTAATTAATATTCATTGTATGTCTTCTTGCACCGTGGAAAGACATTGTAGCTATATATCGACAGTATATCGAATATATCGACTTAAATTCATAGTAAGTATACAAATTTACTCTACTTAGTTCTAAAAATATTAGTGTCAAAATGACACAAAATTAAAAAAAAAATTAAAATTGAATTAACAATTTTATTAAACAAATATTACTACAGACATCATCCTATGATGTAACGTGATATTCGTGGTATCTTTCATTATATAGGCGACGGTTGTCAGTTTCTATCAAGTGGGCTATCAGATTTCCTATTTTAGTTATATAGCAAAAGGTTTTAGATGATGATACCTACCCTTCCTGGATATCCGATGTCATTCCTGAAAAACGTTGTATTTGACTCTCCAAGCTCTTTAGCATCATCAGATCATTATATGTGTTATTATCAATACTTGAACTTAATTGTGACAATGGTATTCCTGGAATCTCTACCGGGAGCAGACTAACAAATTGGAGAAATGGTATCCTTACCATACAAAATTTCCCTTCAATAGTCATATTTCGTACACTCTTCTCTATACCTAAACATTCGTAGTAGCTGCCTATATCTACTACATTCCCTTTTTGTAAACTTCGCGGAAATCTGTAGCCCGCATCTTTGACTGCGAACAAAAAAAAACGTTTATTACTAAATTAGTAAAGTTTACTATTAAACGTCAGTCCAACGCGTTGGTTAGTCGTAATTAGTCGCTCCTACCATTTTCGTTTCGGCTAATGTGACCAAAATACTTGAGAATTGCATTACATTTTAATTTTCTACATTAAAGCACGTTTATTCGTCATCTAATAATATTTGATATAGCCTACATTACATAATTTCAAAAGAATTAACAGTAAAGTAGAGTAAATCTAATATAACATTACTTTAAATAACAATTCAGATAGATATCATAACATAAATTTATCAAATAAAACATAAAGAGATTACTTTGACGACCTCGGTGGTCTAGCGGTCTAGCACACCGCTTTACGACCGATGGTCGCGGGTTCAATTCCTCGCACGGCATTATTTTGTATTTCACAACATTTGTATTCATGAGTATGATTGTTTGTATCGGTCTGGGTGTTTTCTATGTATAATATGTATGTATTTACAAAAAAAAATATCTATGTATATGTATCAGTTGTCTAGTACCCATAATACAAGCTTTACCTAGCTTAACTTGGGTCTAGATGGCGCTGTGTGAATTGTCTTGAGATTATTATTATTATACTTATTCTAACATGAAGACGTCTTTGTTTCTTACTTAATTATTATTCGAACCTAGGCAATTCACAACCTAGCCGTAAAGTATGTATATATCTCGAGCGATTATGAATGTACGTATATTTAAAAACAGTACGTGGTCAGGTTTTTTTTTTCAGGTAGTACTTGGAATGCTTAATGCCATAGGCTTATTTTTTTGTTCAATCAGAACTCGCGCGAAAAAACTATTAATGATATAAATATAGATAACATCGCATGTGCAATTTTAAAATTGCTATTTATCACGATAGATACATTTCAATCACTATTATATCAATATTGATAAAGGGAATTGACGTATTGGTTGATACGGACATTCTATTTTCGTCACCGGGGGGTCAAACTGGCCATTTCAATGAAGGTCGTTTGTTATAGGAAATTATATGTATATAACATTATTACATAGTATAAAAAAGTCGCTACCGCTGTTTGTGCCTATGTGTCAGGTTACTTCTGGTCCGTATATAGTCCACAATGTCCTCCCCTTGGTGGTGCTGTATAGGCGGGATAGGTACATTGCTGTGGTCGATGTTGAAATACGGAACAGGACGGCCTTATTACAAAATGATAGGCCCACTGGGTGATCTTGCAGTCAAACTCCATTTTAAAAATTGCCCCTAATTTTACGTGGTTCCTCATTTGATTTGAAATAGTCACCATCTTTGTGCGCCTCTTCCTTTGTACCACTTGTCGATAGAATTAACAAATATTATATATTAATGAAATAGTTATAATAAAGACGATCGTTGACCGTGGACAGACATGAGTATGCATGCATGGATGCATGGTATATATATATATATATATCTTTAAAACTACGCAACGGATTTTGAAGCAGTTGTTTTAATAGATAGAGTAATTTAATAGACAAAAGGAAGGTTTATATATATAATAAATGTACACTCGGGCGAAGCCGGGGCGAGTAGCTAGTTATATATCTATTTGATACCTACTTGTATAATTATGATAATGGCCTGGCTTAACAACTGACAACCATAGAAAATTTATACGAAAAAAAGACGAAAATGCCTACTATGATTTTATTTTTTATTAAAAGCGTTTTTTTTTATTCATCCCATTCCAGAGGATTACGATGCCATGTAAGAAGTATATATCATACTCCTATAATTTCTAAACTGAGATTGCCAGTTTAGAAATTATTTGCCAATTTTCCTTTAGTTTCCATAGATGATATTTGGGGAAAATTGTTTAACAGCTTTGAAAAATAACAGCTATTAATTTAAAGGGATTATGTGATAATAATAAAATTACGAGTATAATCAAAGGAAATTGAGCCGTATTGTAATGCAGCTAATATTATCGATTTCTATGAATTGGAGTTAGAGGATTAATTAGGATTAACTCAAATATTTATGAAATTTATTTTCATGTTTAATTACATACTACCAGTAAATAATAATGATATTATCTTACTATTATTATAAACGCGACAGTTTGTTAGTAAAGATGGATGATTATTTACTCTTTCAAGCAAAAACTACCGAACTGATTTTGATGAAACTTTGCAATAATATAGCTTATACATCGAATAATACTATTATTAAGGGGGTAATTTTTTTTTTGTTAAATATATGGCATATATTTACTAATATTAATTCATATAATAGAATAATAACGTTGTATAAACGCCTAGTTTATTTTTTATTTATTTACGTTTGATTATTATAAGTCTCAAACGGAACTAATTCCTTCGAAATTTCTTTGTATTGAAGCAAAATCTTGTATAAGCTTTGATAATAGTTTAAAAACGATTAAGAAACAAAATCCCAAAAATTTTCATTGCCTCAGAAATAAAAATTTTTGCAGATACCTACTATTTTATAGATATTATAAATAATTTAAATTCTTTTGAACCATTTAATAAAAAGGCCTTAATTCGTTAGAATAATGTTCAAAATTAATTAGACTTATACACTGCTCGCAAACCATTTAGAAATGGCATAGTATTACCGGTAGGACAACATACATTATCAGGACTCTCTCGAAATCTATACTGCTATGGATAATAAATAATGATTGAATTTTACATTCTACGATTCTTAATTTTTATGGAATTTATTCATCACCGTTCCTAAACAGACGTCCTTCAGCAAAGTTTTGACCCAAAATTGTATTTGGTCGTGGATGAAATAAAAGTCAATAATTGTAGGAATTTATAAGATCTACTGTAGTAGTAGTGTTATAATAAGTTGGTATGTTATGTTGTATTAGGGTTCACATGCGAATCCCCTGGCTCCGGCATAGGCGCTCGTAGGTACACCGTGTGGTTTTTGGTGAGTACAAATCTCACACACCGCCCCGCCCTCCCTCCGGCAAGGTGACGGTCTTTTGAAGATTTTCAACACGTTAAAAAAAAAGGGTTGGCAGTTGAAAATAAATATAAGTAATAGGGCTGCCAAATTTATCATACCCAATATTTTGTTTAAATTATTAATTATAATTTTAAAACTTATTTATTTTAATAATAATAATTATGAGTATAATTTATGGATGATGATGATGTTTTATAAAATAATAGGTTCAAACTCACATCGACCCAATAGGGCGGGATCTCTTAGCCTAATATATGCAACCTGCGCGGCACACTCCCGACGATCTAACACTTCTTTAAATAACTCATCATCAAAAAGTTCAGTACGATTATATATTAAATCACCGTACCCATTTACAGTAATTAAAAAAATTAAGACATGTATAAAAACTAATTTAAATTCCATGTTACTTAATTTTATTGCTAAAATTAAGTTCCTCGGAACACGCACAAATGTCAAGTGAAATCCAAATATCGTATTATACGCAATCTTAAAATATTTTTATACAAATATAATATTGATTAATCTAATCAACAATTGATTTTTATGATGGTGCTGTATAAATATGTCGATGTATAGATATAGTCTAATTAATACACATTAATGCTGTATATACTTTGAGCAGGGGCCGATCCAATACCATTATGTGGAATAACATCTGATAACTATACCGACTCGCTACTGACTACGTATAAGAAAAAATAAACGTGATGTTGAAACCTAAGCCAGGACTGTGTTGTATCGTGATAAGAATTGACTCTTGTGTGGGTTGTATCTATACTTATATTATGAAGAGAGAGAGCTTATTTTCTTATTATGAACCATTGCTTCAATTTGAAAAATTCTTTCACTGTTTAAAAGTAACTTTTTCCAGAGTGAGATAGATTATTATGTTAATATATAGAAAATTCTAAAAGCTGAGCACCCAAATGAAGTTAGGACGTGCTATTAATATTATGATAAAATCAAACTATACCTAAAGAGAGAGAGAACTATTGAAATTATATCGCTTTATGTATTCTACCGTATATACAACAAAATGTGTTCTGAAAAATTGTTCGACATACCTACGGCTTTTACCATCGTACCGCTTGCCAATGTCAGGAAATTCGTCTCCATACCATGAAACCAAAGCGATCTCGGACAGTGCGGTTTCAGAGGCTATTTTGCGTGAATGAATTATCTGCCGAGGTTTTCCATAGAGACGGGGTTTTTTTGAAGGGTATATTAAAGTTTCTTAAGGATCGGGAACGCGCACGTGACACGTCTGATGTTTCAGACGTCCATAGGCTACGATAACAGTTTACCATCGAATGTGCCATATGCTTAATTGCCACCTTTATTATATAGATATAATAAAAGGACTATGGACAGATACTGTAACTAGGTTTTAATATATTTTATTGTGGTTAACTATTCATGATTATTATAAGGTGATTGCCAAATAAAATTGCATTATTATCACAATTTCTACTGATATTTTATTATTACTTAAAATTTAATGTGAAATGAGTGATAATTTATTTATATACATTTGGCAATCGGAATATAATTTTCAGAAGGTGTAGGAATTATTAAACTAGTTCACCCACGTCACATTTTCTATTGATGTTCCGCTCCTATTAGTTGTAGTATCATATTAAATAGCCTTGCTCCAAAAATAGGACTGAAAGATCCAGGACTGAAAAAAAAATCAATTCTTACCAATATCTAGTTCTTGATATCAACAAATTAAATCAAAGAAGTAATTATAGTATTCTTCACTAATTTATTTATTTATTTAAGCATGCAAATGTTGCATCCCATAATTTTACAGTAAGATTATCTATCTACAACAATCAAAGCAGATCATACATATAATACTAGTATATGTTGAATTCGGATATACAGCGGATATGTTTTATATATTACAGACTTTTAGACGTTATAATTACAGTAGAGATGGTACGTGTAGATAGATACATTAGTAGGTATCGCAATTGATTGATAGCTGATATTTTACGCTTAATTATCTGTTGTTTATTTTAAATTATAATGACGATTATAACTGAAGTAAATTTGGAATGATACAATCAGCAATACCTCATCAATAAAAGTCATCATTACTTTCTAGTTTTCAAATAACCTTATTAGTGCAGGTGAACTTTGTCATGAATAGTAGAAGTAGTTTGTCATGAATAGTACTAGTAGGTATTATATCAACCGAGGTACACTTTATATAAAATCGGCTGCATAAGTATCTCAGTCTGTCTTATTTCCGTCGCCAAACAGCTTACTTCGAAGGCTGTGTTTTGGTTGAGGTTGTCATGACATCTTATGTTAGTCTCACCTAGATATTATCGACGGTCGCGTGATAAATTGATGTATGTAGTTATGTTCATGTATATAGGTTACCACTTAGTATTTAGTAGGTCATCAGCTTATTTTTCATTCCAATTATATACAAAAAATAGTTTACAGACCTATGCTTCTAGTCGTCTGCATAGATATCTTTGTCTCACCTATCCTTTTGGAACCACATCGATATTCAAAGGCAGTTAAGTACATACATATGTATGTATGCTAATACATTGATATGTATGTAGGATAGAGTGGATGCGAAATTATAGTTGTTATTTTGTTTAATCTTTTTACATTAAAAAAACTAAACACTGTGACGGACAACATTTATATCTCTAGCAAGTCATTCTATATTGACTGCTGTCCATACATTGATCTCATTCATATATGTATATTCATTCATAACTATTAACTTTGTGTGGCAACACACCTATCTTGTCGATGTTGTGGAATCTTTATTTATACCTATTATATTATTATTGCACCCAAGCTATATTTATATAATTACGAATATACAAGATAATTATCATTATAGTTATATTAGTGACAATATATGTAGAAGCATGTAACATATTATAATAAAGTATTAGAGTACAACTTTTGTCATAAGCTTTTTGAAATAATGAATACTATACTTCATATATATTCGGGGTAATAAAATTAAAAAGAAATTATTAAATAAATATTATATAAATCTAACGTATTCCGTGATAGCTATCGTTATGATTGTATCATTAATATAGTGAACATTGGAATAATTATCGTTTTAGAATTTAAAAAAAACCAATGTTTTGTGTTATTCATATATGATATTCATTTTACCGCTTTCTTTTAAAGAAAAAAATAATATAATAAAGTATGTAGGTACTTATTATATTATTTTCACTATATCCCGCAAGGCATCTAATATTTTAAAACTTTATTTTATAACTATTGTTAGCGGTATGAGTAGGGGCTTTATTTATATGTTTTGGTTGTATATAAGTTTATTAAAATAAAAGTAAATTTCGAACATATATAGTTGTATAGAAAGGGTATAAAAAAATAGTGATCAGAAGTACAATAGTTGAAGAATGTCTGTAGAAGAAGTAATTTTTGTAGATAGTATTTCCCGCGCAAACGCAACGCGCCACAGATTCATAATATTGCACAGCGTGCAGCTGTAGGATGGCGAGCGCATCATGGCAGTATGTGCGATGTTAATACTAGAGTACTAACAACTATAAAGTCTGTCTATCTGTCAAATCTTCTTCGCTAATGTAGCTGGGAGAACTGGACCGTATATAGCGTCATTGATAACTATATGCACGTAATTAAAAACATGTAAGTCGCTTGTCGTATGGATGGAATTATTAATAAAAGGCATGTCTTGGTATTTCTAGGTGTAATGTATCAGGTCGACCTCCACGTGACTACCCTGAAAACTATTATAGTTAATCTCTGATGAATACGCCATGATCGAATAATAAATCTTATGGATATCATTATGTATGTTCTCATCCTATAAGTCTCTATTGGTGCTTTGCGAGCGTATACCGTCAATGGAGGTAGATATACCATTACTTATTAATCCAAGTCAAAAGTGTTCATTCAAATATGAATAAATGGTTTTGACTTTGACAATTGTTTGTTTAACCTTTTTATCAATCAAGGTCCCTAATTATGTAGCGTGTTTTAATATCGCATTTTGTAGGAAGACATCTATATTACATATCTATAGATAAAAAGCAAAACGTTATCAAAGTACAAATTTTTGTTCAATTCGTTAGATCTATTTACGAGATTACACGTATATTATGTGTATGTTATTGTATACACGAATTACTATTTTAATTTGTATATTGAAGATAATTAAAATATCTGACTTGATAATTATACAGAGATAGGTACATGTACTTAAGCACATTCATATATATATCTCTCTAATTATTATGTGGCAGTCAGAGATTAATATATCACCTGATATTTCGATAATATTTAAATCTAAACCAGCAGGGAAAGACCCCTCTCTCTGTTTAATTTGCTATGTAACCAGTATTACTTAATCATATTTGATCTCATAACCTTTGATGTTTATCAGTCAAGGTAGTCAGTAAGCCACGATACAATTCAAAAATTTTAATAATAATGAAATAATAAAATAAATTCTAACTTCTGAGATTTTATACAAAAAGGGGCAAAAAATAGAAAACAAATACATTTTTTGGTATGTTAATTATACATAATATAATGTTAACAAAGGAGGAAATCTCTAAAAGAGATCTCTTCCAGTCAACCCTATGGAGCGTGGCATAGGAAGCGTTGTGTGGGTCAAATTGTGCAAATAATAATTTAACAAAAATTGTTATAAATAATTAACAATGTCATAAATTTAATTATATTTGTATACCTTGATTTTCATCTCTTGGGAATAGGGCATATAAGATCCGAAGAAAATATTTTGTTTACACAGGAGTGGGCGACAGCTATAGGCGATGGAAAGAGCTAACTGTAGAAATGTAGTGTGTCTGTAGAATATCTTCATATATGTATATACATACATAAAGATTTTCTACGGATAGCCATCACAAAAATCCGTTCGATAAACAAGTAAATAGTTTGTAGGTAATTATTTATTGCATCTTTCAGTGATATTTTGACTATATTAAACATTTCCAATTGCCATTACTTTTGGTTAATCAGTATCATTTCATTCCGGAAGATGTCCACTGTTGAACAAAGACCTTGCAACCAATGCTTTCCAGCGATCTTGACCAGATCGGTCGATCAACATCGGTCCACCATGTCGGAGGCCTTCCCACGCTGCGTCTTCCACTTCGCGGTTGCCACTCGAGAACTTAACTACATGAACGACTGCTTGTCCTTGGAGCTATGTGCCCTGTCCTATGCTTTTACTTACTTTTGAAATATGTCAGTTCATCTTATGGTAAATGGACAACTAAAGACTCTAAAATACCAGAAGTGTGACATCTGCTTTGTAAATTTAAAAGTAACCTCAATTTACCCTTCTTAAAAAACCGTATCTTGTAAACTCTAGAAAATACCTCGAGTAAAAGAGAATAGAGGTATTTTCGAGAGAAATTTCACATGCAGAGTGTGCGCGTGAGAATAGTTTTCTAAAAATTTACTGTTCACCATCACTTAGGTTATAAAATCTGAATAATAATCGCAGAATATATTTAGTCTCTTTCTATATTTAGTAGAACAAACTAAGGAGCTTGATACTTGCTGCTTATGTGAAGAAGAAAATAGAACGATATATTTCTATATAGTTCTATTTTAACCGACTTTAATAATTCCCATTTGCTCGTATGATGACCTCGCACAATTTTTTGTTATAGATAATTATTACGTACTATGTTAGAATAATCTACGTACAGGCAGGTATTTATTTTCATATTAGTAATCAAAGCAATTACTAGGATTTAAAACGGGGAAAAGCATAGAATGTTTTTAGAAAAAAATACAATTAGATTGATATTTTTTTTATTTCTTTCCTTAATATTATATATGGACTTTCATTACAAAATGATAAGGTCAGGTCCTATCTTAATTCTAATCTTATCATCTACCGTATAAGGAAAATAAAGCTTTTGCTGGAGATAATACAGGATTAGCCAATAAACTGTAGATTTATATATTTTAGAGTTAATAATGTTACTTTGCAACAATGATACACTAAAGTCAAAAGAGAACACGTACAATAAAAGTGAAATCGGAAACCCATGCTCAAAAAAATAAATACACTCCCTCATCTATACATACATTTACCCACTTCACCATGATAATACGGACTTGCTATTGTGAATAAACTAACTCAAATTTCTAAGGTACCATTTCATCATCTTATTTTGTATTCAAAATTCTTTGTTGATGAGAATAACTATACTATATATAACTTTTATGAAATTATTTACCTCTATTGGTTCCATTCTACATGTCCGTTTCTTTACCATATTAAACATTAATATATAATCAATTTCCAAAATCACACACTTATAAAACACTAAACTTATTTCGTGTGTTCTCTCTCAATTATTTTGTATCCATAAGTTTGCATCATATTTAAAAATGCAATTGAATTTAACGTATGAAATCCAAACTGAAATACTGCTATTTTCTCTAAGTATCCACTACCATCGTAATGTTTTTTTTTTACATTTAAATTTATAAATCTTTACGTCTCCAACATGTTTTCACAATATATTATAGATATACATAAAATATATTATAGAATATCTTTGGAAATATCAACAAACATTTTAACGATTGTTTTTGTAACTAATTGTGGGGTTAAATTAATATGTTGGTCTTATTCAAGTATTTTTTATTATTTTATGTCAATACATAAAATTAATTAAAATTGTAGAATTAATTTTATTTGTAATAGTTACGATATCTTTGTGTAAAACTCTCTGTGATCAAGGTATTTGACTTTTTATGACTAGATCCTGTACCTCGTTGTAAGTTAAAGTTATCAGAGGAGTTTTCCTTGTTTTGATAAATTCTACTACATATAAAATGTAGTTCAGATAAAAAACAATTTAAGCTTTATTATATAACCTATAACTGAGTTTTATCAATATTATCAGCTGGTGATTCCACGTGGTTCGCTGCTGATGGAGCAGCGCCCTCCACTGGTTTTGCAGGTGCTGATCTTTTGCCTCCTCCTGTACGCAAAAAATAAATAGTAAGAATTTAAAATATTCCTAAATTACCTAAAAATTAGAAGTTATGCATATTTTGAAGCTAAATTTATTTGAAAACCAGCAAACACTTTTTAACTACATGTTTAAATAGAACGGGGGATCGATCGGCGAGGCTCAATTGATTACGCTGTTAGGAGGACTAAAACATCACATTGGTGGCTGAAGTGTAAGAGAGGTAATCATCAATACGATATTAGACGAAGTTTTGTACCAGTGCTATTCTTCGACTTATTTTGCCTTGTAGAAGAATATTTGGCAATGTTTAAGGGTTATCAATGATCTTGTAATTAAAAAAATCCACAAAACCTCTTAACGCTTTCGTCAGTTTTAAGAGATAATAATATTATTCTGGGTTACATTTCACACAGGCTCATTAAGTCTCCAGTTAAGTACAGCTTATATTTCAGGTACTAGGATTGAAAAACTAAAATACATTGTTTTTGTACATACAACCATATTATGCATAGAACAAATTATTGATCAAAGACAAAATTTTTAATACAAACATTCAGACTCATGTTTGTATTGAGCGAAGACTTGATCCCGCCACTATAGGAAGTAAGACGATGCTTAACTGCTAGACCACCGGGGCCGTCATTTATTATATATTTATTTATAAAATAATATGTTTCTCTACTGACCTCCCATGAAATGCTTAATCAAAACAGAGAACGGCGAGTCTACGAACAACGTGATTGTAAATGCAGCCAAGACAGCTATTGTAAAATCAGTCATAAACCTTTTTATCTGAAAATAAAATAGACAAAAATTATATAACATTACTTACCAGACAATACAAGTTTCCTTCGATTTTTGGTCTAACACATATTACATTAGATGAAATTCATATGGAACTATATATACTTGCAACTGAAGTATATGGTATAAGTACATATATACTTTTGTTTTAAAATAATCAAATTATACAATATTTGTGCAATTCGCTGCAAAATAACACCTGATTTTCTAAAATATATCCATACATTATATTACACAAAATGTCTAATTTAGGGTAAAAAAGTTATATAAGTAAATCAATCTTAAATTTAAATAGTGTGCACGACGCACCTCTTTGTTTATTATTTATGTATTTTGTCTATTATTTTATATAGAAAAATATATATGACATTGTCATTCTTGTTCTGCTAATTATTATACTTTTGTACATAATATTATATTATTGCTTCTTAAAACCCGTGTTTACATAATTATATCTACCAGCCCCATATATATACAGTCCTTCGTTCACAAATAGCTTGTATTTAAAACTATTAAATATAAGCAATTATACCAAACTTTTAATTTTTGAGTTACTGCAGTTTAGTGTAAAGCGAGTCATATATGATTTATATGCAGATTGATACTTACTGATACTTCATCAGAGAAATAAATAGGACTTATTGTGGTTGCATTCACGACGATTATAAGTGGATAATGGAAAAGATACATGGCATAGGACAATCTTGCCAGTACCTTCCACATGGCGTGAGATAGCACCCAGTTAATGGGACCTAAAACAAAATATTGTATTTTATTTAATTATTTTTATACTACAAAAGACAAAATATAAACAGAAAGAAGTGGTTTATACTGAAACAATTTTATATTATTATTTACACGAATGTTTGTGAGTATGAAGGGAAGTTTGTTACTCTTTCACGCAAAAACTACTGAACGGATTTTGATTAAACTATACAGTAATGTAGGTTATACACAGGAATAACACATAGACTATAATTTAAAACGATAGTATGTAAATTGAGCGAAATATAAATGTCATGTAAGTGTGTTGCAGATGAAGTTGCACAGGTCAGGTAGTATAACATAAAACAGAAAAATTAAAATGTATATGACAAAACTCACTGAATGTTATCTTAAATATTATCTGAGATTCTTACAATATATTTCTACCTCGTACAAAGTCATTTGCATCATCATCACCTGTCGGCTATATTAGTAGTCACGCAGTTTCAATCGTAAGATATGGAAGGTGAGATAAGGAAGTTAAATTGGTGATGATTGACGAATGTTGCAGTCTTATGGAGTAGCATTGCGTGAGTTATACTAGGGCATCTTATGATGACGTTATTTTGTGGAGTTCATATTTAAAGACGGCAGTTGCTACTTACCATCCGAGCAGATAAGCCAGGAGCTTGTTTTCCAGTCTAGTAACTTAAAAATTATTGTAGCCACGCAGTTACCGGGATACCGGGTCGGTACATTTCTAGAAAAGACTAAATTCTAACCTGCATATCCATGCACACAAGCGAAGATCATCCAGCAAATACTCAAAGCCCAAACTGGTCTCATGAAAGAATTAACTAAGTCGTTGACAGTTTGATTATCGAAGTCTTCTTGAATAATAAAATAATTACATATCATTGCTCCTGATGATAGAATTATAGCGAGTAACCAATAGAAGGCAACTTGTATCTGGAATAGATAAAAAATGTATAGTAAGTATAGTATAGTATAACCTATAATTTCAGCCGCCAAGCGGTTTTAAAAGATATATTTCTAATTAGAGAATATGGGAGTGTAATATCTTAATTCTTCCGAATAGCAACACATTACTTATTAATATATGTTTTAAAAATCAATATATGTACCTTGTATATATTACCGAGATTATATATTTCCTTTTTTTTTTATTTTGATTTTGTTACATTTTTAATTTGAGCACGCTGATCTCAGTAACTATTTAACAAATTATATTTAATAATAATACATGTATTTAATAGCTCGACAAAAAAAAAATATTGTTTTGGAATACATCTATCCGGGATCCATGTCTATATAAATATAAAAATTAAAAGAAATATATCTTACTTTTGGCAAAACTATATTTTTTCCACGGCAAAGATGTAGAATATATCCAAATATCATCCCCACAAAGAATGGCGGTGACCTTGGCAGCGTGTTCACGTAGTAATAACTGAAGTAATCTGGCTGGCCTTCTTTCAGTGGGCTACAAAAAAATGTTACTATATATTAAATATACCTAACTACATTCAACGGTGCCTATGATATAATCAGTGTAAGGTTATTTTTTCCGTTGTGAAACTTAAAACATACTTTCCTAAGCCCTTGATTTTTTTTATGTAACTTGAATGTCAAATAGCTCCTTTGATAGAAAATGTATACCGTAAAGGGAGATCCCTAAGTACAAGTCATGGATCATTATTCAATAATTTCATTAGCCTATATCACCTTTGATACGAAAATACATGTTACCAGGCTAACGGTATGGCATAGAAATCGATTAGATAGAGGTATAAATAATACAAAACCTACCTAGGTAAATGTTTACCATTCCAGACATATAAAACAACAGGTAAATTTTGTTTAAATACTCACCTCAGTGTCACAGGTCCACCTTTGAATCCCATTAAGAAGTTAAATGTAGTACCTCCAGCGAGTGAAAGTAGTAGTGCGGTGGTTAATGTAATCCAAGCTGTACGTTTTTTGCCGCTGACCACAAAGAATAGAATAAGAGGACATATCAAGAAGAGTTGAAAATCTATCGCAAGATACCAGGAATGTGGAAGACACTGAAATTATAATAGATCTTACGTTAATATAGTTAATGTCTATTTTACATTACAATATTGATTAAATTTATCTTCTAAAGTTTTTAATTTTTATCTACAAGCATATCTAATAAATTCAGAACTTTGGTGTCACTTCAAGTTTAGATATGTGACATAAAACTATGTTATATTGAAAATACGGTATTTTTTATTTTTACGGTATTTACGGTTTTTTTATATAGGACTCATACTTTTTACTTTTACAGCAATATCAGATAGAGGTTTAAGGAGACTACAAAGTCACTCACTACTAAAAACTTATAAAATGCAAAATTAGAGCATTTTATTGGTAGTTTACGCGCACCTATTTATTTACAGCTAATAATACAAATAAGTCGGCCGCTGGATGTTAAAATGTAAGACAAACCTTTTATAATTATTTAATTAAACCTTTTATAGTAATAATTTAAATGAGTAAAGTAAAGGCAATGTCCATTTTGCTTGGTAGATTGGAATCCAATGTAAAAAAAAAAACCAACCAAAATTTATCTCAACGAAACGTTCGCAATTCTGGTAGAATTAAAGAATAAATTTTGGTTTCTTATAATTTTTCGTGAATTTGCAATACCGGAGAATCAGTCAGGAGTCATTTCGGGTTAGCCAATTTTCAACGATTATTAGGTGTTAATTATGGCAATAAATCACTACGTCACATTTCTATCTCCCTAATTAACATATAGTACATATTACTTATGGGTAGAAGTTGAATTTATGTTGAATAAACTAACCATGTAACCGGGGTTATAGTAATTCTGCATGTACAGTAATGTTGTCCACCAATATTCTCTGCAATGGTGAGTTTGTCTACCAATTTCGTCCCAAGCGGGTCCGTCTGATACACGATGGAATAGCGATGCTTGTAGAAGAACGCAGGCAGCCAGTACAGGAAATAGCCGAAGATACCGATTTAAATAGAACAGATGAAGATTTTTCACGAGTTTCACTGGAAAACAACAATATTTATGTTAAGATTACCAAAACAGATCGAAACAAAATGTGAGACCAGACCGATTTAATATGAATATGTCGTATGTTTTGTGGAGTTATGAGTCTTCGGAATAGGAGCTTGTATGAGAGTGAATAAATTATGAGATATGAGTAAAGGTTAGAATCGAACCCGCGACCATAGGAAGTAAAGCAGTATGGTAAACTGCTAGACCACCATTATACATGCATCCATTCAGTTATCATCTCATTATATAACATCTGCGGTACTTCTCATTCTCTATCACTCTGAAGTACTAAAATGTGAAATTATACAATGTTATAATGATATAAATTATGATACAGTGTTATAATGATATAAATGCAGTATAAGTTATTGAGATCTACTTACTTCCTGTCATTTTGCCTGCTGTACTATAAATCAATAGGAGACCGCTAAGCGCGAAGAAGGTGTCTACGGTAATTGGACCAGCTGTTATCCACAATGACCAAAACGATTCTAAAAACTGCAAATAAAAAATACATATTTTTACTACCAAAAAATATAATTCCATCGTTAAAAAATACGGTAACTTTTAAATTGTATTATGTTTGTATCATGTTTTTAATACGATGTTACTAAAATATAAAGTAACTGGAAAGATTTCTCATTGTATATAATATTAATAATAATTTTATATACCGCCAGGTACCAAATATGTGGAAGATGTATAAGTATATTAAATATATAACAATTATTATTATAAGATAGATGGATAAAGTTACTAATCTACTTAGTAGAAAACACTCAATGATAATATTGTTTATTACGAGATAATTTGATTATAAAATTATTCATATTAATAAAAATACATAATACATAATATTTAAAATATATTTATTACTAGTATTTACATAACCTAATTGTACAAATAAGAACCTAAAATTAAAAAGCTTAAAAAAATATAATATGATGACTAAAATATAATATATATGATGACGAAGATACTGGCAGCGTTCCCTCTTTGAATAGCTAGACTAATTCTTTGTCTAGTCTAGACTAATACTTAATTATATTTATGTATATAATACACATAGTTGTTATTTTTGTATGAAACTCTTTTATTAAAAATATTTTAAATTTTATTCCATCATCCTAAAGATTTAAAAATCAATTCAGTAGTTGTTTATATTTTCTTAATTCCTTGTAAGTTTTAATGTAAATATTTTTTCATTAAATGCATGTCAGCATTTTTAAAGGGAATAAGCTCTGGTCTTGAAGGTTTCAATATCGTATTGGTTCCGAAATACCATTTCATACAAATGATTAATGTGATACGATATTTATAGTATTCATAGACGTTTTAAATGATATTTTATTTATAATATTAATACGATTCACTCACCTCTTTAATATCCAGCGGATTATGTACTACAGCTGACGTCAGTTGATTTACATATGTATGTCCGATGATGACCCATATCATTGCAATTGCTCTAATGCCATCCAAACACTCTAGAGCTCCAGGCACTGGTTTATAAGTCACTAATCGATTTGTATTGGTATAAACGGAAAAGGACAGGTACAATTTATTCGCCTTTTTGACATCTAAAATAAATACATAAAGACACTAAACACACATTATTGAATCAGATGACGGGTAACAAGAACTTTTATAACACTATCGAATTATCCAGGGGTCATAAATAAAATTTGATCAAAATAGAAAATGTAAACAGTGCAGTACCCACGCGATGTTTCAAAATAATTTTAATATTGACTAACACGTAAATATCAACAGTATGATCATGAAATACCCCCAAAAGTAAGAAAAGTACTAAATAAGGGGGGCCTTATTTAGTACTTCTTCTTCTTACTTTTGGAACGCTACATTCCGATAAGATAAAGACTCTCAGAACCATCTCTTGGACAAACGATTCTAATAATTACGAAGTCTAGCCCAAAACCAATAATTTCACTGTAGATCACTATGCAAAATAGGACTAAAATTCATCTCTCTTTGATGTAATATTATATCAATATATGAACCAAATTTGACAGGTTTATGTGAAAGACTTTTTGAGTTATGAGGGGGTCAAAAGTGGCTCCAAATGGTTCGTGCTGCTCGCCAGTTCTCTTACTTGAAACTAGGCTTTGACACGCTACCGCGTGTCTAGAAATAACAATAGCTAATAGAAATTATAAATTGCTGTTCAGCTCTTTAGTTTTCAAAGGGCAATATGAATTAATTATGTGTGCTATATCTTTCACATGGAAATGAGATTAATTTCTTACCTCTTTTGTTGATTACTTGGTGGTTTATATCGTAAGCTGTACTCAATACCAGAAGGAGACCAATAAATGTAAAAATACCACTGCAACAAATAATATACAGGTCAGTTATATCAATTCTAACTCATATCGTAACAATAGTTTGGAATAATTAATTACACATTATAATCTATATACATTTAAATAAAATTGGAGTGTACGTTTGTAATATTGATATAACTGTTTTTTACTACATGCATATGAAAATAAATATTGTATGTACACCAAAATAATATTTTTTACAATTTTTGTCTGTCTGTCTCTTTGTTCCGGCTAATCTCTGAAATTGTGGGACCTATTTTAACGGGACTTTTATTGGTAGGTCGCTGATGTAATAATAATAGGATACTTTATTTTAGAAAATATCTTTAATTTTTGAAAAATAAAGTTAAATTCCTTGCGGACGAAGTCGTGGGTATAGCTAGTATATTATAAAAGTATAAATCAATAAGGTTTTTATTGACATTTGTAAATATAAAAAATATAACGATAGTATACTTACAAAGCAACCCAATCTACAGTTGTCCATGGTTTGTCATTAGGAATTCTACAAAATGCTTCTTCAAATTTAACTCCCCTTGGTGGAAGTACTGTAACAGTATCCAAAACATTTTTCAAAGAACATGTCTTCGGAAGGCACACTGCCATATTTATACTCAATTCGGTGAGAGCTGTTTGGTCATTTCTGAAATATTATAAGAATTTAAAGATTCGCATTTCAAATATTTTAGTCATTACTTCATTTCATTTTACCTGCTGTATTATTAATGAGATATTTTTTGATAAATTAATTAATAATTTCGCTTTTTTATTTGTAGTCAGCGTAATATTAAGCGTTATACATTTTTCTCTTTCATTCATCTCTGTCCTCAGATTCCCTTTCCATTTTGTCATATCAGCTTTCACTCTTTACTTGTACATATGACCCCTAAACTCAGATCATCAACCATTTTAATAAGTTATATGGTAAAACAACGTTTACGGGATCAGTATCACGGCCAGGAATATATAATAATTTAATAATCTACCTTGGTTTAAGATCTGGTGTTGCTCCTGCCAATCTTTGAGCTTGCTCTTTTATTCTTATTTGCGATGTCAGATCTTTTTGTGGGATATTGTCAATATCCAGCATTGCAGTATCAAAATGTGACAGTGATAATACGTCTGAAAATTCTGGTCGTATTTGAAGATTTTCTAATTCATCATCCTGATCTAATGGTATCTTCATCATGCAGAATTTTCCTTCTACAGTCATATTTTCTACTTGCTTCCCTATATCTAAACATTCATAATAACTGCCTAAATCGAATAAATTCCCTTTTTGTATACTACGTGGTATCCTGAACCCAGCATCCAAAACTGTAAAAATAAATCAATACCGTTAGTTACAATTGGTAAAGTATAGTTACATATTATATAGCTACAATACATATAAAATATTCAGTCAGTCAGTCCGAAATTTCCACAGGTGTACACGATTTTGCATGAATATACAGTTGCACTCAACTCATATTAATAGTTTATGTTTGATGTGTCATATATATGTTGACTTATTTATTTATAGTAAAACTAAACCTTTTCAGCTACTATAGTGTTGACGCATATTTAGCATTTTTATGAATAATAAGATAATTTATGATGGAATAGTAGTAATTAAACCTACACCCCTATATTTTCTCTATTTGTGACCAAGTATTCAGGGACAGGTCTATCCTAGTAATTAGGAGCGCTGCGTTTTTTTTTATTAAAATCATAACATTGTACTTTCTGTTTTGTATTATTCATTGTTTAATACTATATTAAAAAAGAACCAATTATAATTTTTATTGCCATTCTACTCCGGTTAACTTTTTATTAGTGAATAGAGTTATTATAGTGCTCGTCAGTATTAAGGAAGAAGCATTATATAATCACTACTTTACAATTTTTTTTTTCTTTTACTTAAACACAGTTATTACTTAATGTGATTTCTACCTACTCCCTTATTACAAAAATATAAGTACGTCGTCTTATATTTTTATCACGTCAAGTTTTTTTTAATACATCCTCATTATGTTATTTCACTAACTTGTTACTGGTGCTGAGTTAATATTCGCTTTTATTGTGTTAATCTTAGAATTAAACATTATGATTGGTTATAAAATGGCCTCAAGACTGTGTAAATTAAATCCAGATAAGATTTGCTGTTTGTGGTCAAATTATATCATCAAAAAACAAGAGATATATTACTGAAGCCTATTTCCAATATTTCCAAATCTAGGTGACAAGTCTTGATAAAAATTGGATTCCTCGAGTGGTATGTGAAAATTGTCGAAGTATGTTATGGTAATAGTTATGATAACAGTTAAGTATATTATTGATCTGGACTGCAGGAAAAATAAAATATTTGTAGTTTGTTGTCCCAATGTTGTGGAGGGAACGAACAAATCACGCTACTGACTGTTACTTTTGCCATACCAAAACTTCTGGTTTAAACAATAACAAGAAGAAGTATTTAAAATACCCTGACATTTCATCAGTCACACAACCTACATTGAATTCTGAAGGAGTGCCTTTCTCATCATTGCCCAGTACTTCAAGTAAGAAAAATGAATCAGAGTTCATGGAGACTGAAATGGTTGAGTCTACATTAAGCCACGCCCATCATTCAGATGATCTTTCCGAATTAGAATCTTAAGATAGTAAACCACATTTATTTTCACAGTGAATCGAATGATCTTATAAGAGACTTGTAGCTTTCAAAAAGTAAATCTGAATTGCTTGATTCACGACTGCAGCAGTGGAATTTATCATGATACCCGAGTGATTGGTAATTTCTTGGCCAACCATAACTCAGAAGATTATGAAGAATTTGTTTCTAATTTGAAGAATTATCTTAAGATGGGGTGAATATGTCATTAAAAATTCATTTTTTATATTCGCGCCTGTATTCTTTCTCTGAGAGCCCGAGAAACGTAAGCAATGAACATGGTAAATGTTTTCATCAAGATTTTAAGATTTATGAAGAGAGGTATCAAGGTTTTTGGTAAAAAATATGCTTGGTAATAACTGCTGGTCTATATTAAGTAAAACTGATACTAATTAATATAAAAGTAGAAGTAATCTGTATCATTTTTTATTTTTTTGTAGGTCACACATAGAAAATTATATATATTTAAATTTTAAATATATATTTAAAAAACTTGACTTCCTATTTTTTTTCCACTTCAGTATCTAACATAGGGTCTATTAGCCTAACGATTCACATTAGTTTCATGTTTGGGTAAAAAACCATGTAGACTAGTGATAATCAATAAAAAATAAATGCTATCAGTTAATATATCCAACTTAACTAAACTGAGATATGATGTCTATTGTAGATAGTTCAACAATAGATATCTAATCTAAGCTAATATAAATATGTTATTATCTATTGCCTATTTTGTAAAGAAGGTGGGTTTCCATTGACTATAGCTCTAGGCTTTTTGTCTACATGTTTTTGAATATTACTTTAGCAATACATATGTTACGAGATCTCAGATTATAGCCCAAAATGTTATTTACTTAACTATATAATACAAATATTTTAAGATTCATTTACATAGATAGTATATAAGAATGTTATATACATCATTACATAGTATAAGACAAAGTCGCTATCGCTGTCTGTCCGTCCTTATATATATTTAAATCATTAAAACTACGCAACGGATTTGAAGCGACTTTTTTTTAATAGATAGTGTGATTCAAGAGGAAGGTTTATATATATAATAAATGTATATCCGTGCGAAGCCGGGGCGAGTAGCTAGTTATAAATATAACAGTTAATTATAGCTTGGAATAACAAAGATAGACTGTTAACTAATTGGCTTGTCTTATATTGTAAAAATGTTTAATAGTATGAGAGTATACAATATTGTTTACTTTTTGTTTCGATAAATCTATGTGTTGGATATGTAAATATATATATAATATATTGGAGAAAGTTATATGAACTTGAGTATCTTTTTGCAATCTATATACTATTTTTAGTGTAGTTAAAACATTATTTCTTTCTGAAATCTCGTCACATATGTAAATTAGATGAAAGTTCAATTGAAAATATTTTGTAAACTTACATAGGTTGCAAATTGTATGGTATAGATTAATATATACATAAATTCAAAAATTACAAATTTTAGAAAATCTACAGTTAATCACTCAATCAACTTCCAGGTCTAGTTTCAGAAATTTGTATTATTTTTTTTTTACTTACTTATTTAGTATCAAAAACAGGTTCACAATTAGGAAACTTATAATTATTTTACATTTTCTATGTACTATGTTATTGTAAACCCAACATGCATGATCACAAATTATATTAAAGTATTAAGATATGTAGGTCGCATACATACATTTTGAATCAATAATTCGAATTAAAATATAATTCGAATATCCGTAAAAGAAGTTTTGGTGTGATTGATTCAGCGGTGAACCTTAGGGATGAACGTGCAGGCTTGTGTCTTGGCAGGTCAACCCCAATCGGAGACTTTGGTAAGAGCACTTTCGATTACAGATACAAGCGTTTACAAGTTTCCATAATGAAAACAGGGATATTAACATGGCCCGTGTAGTATGCATCCCCAGTACTGTCATCCGCATGAATGAATGTGGTTAACAAATTTTTGATATGCAGCAGAAAAAGTGGGATTGGGAAAGCGTGGGATTAATTAATTATATTATAATATGTTCTGTAGGTTTTATTGTATAATTATAATAATTTTGTCATTCATTATTGAGATTAGATATCTATTGATAAATTCTGTAATAGACATCCTATCTCTGCTTAAGTGAGTTGGAGATATTGACTGATAGCACTAAATTTTTATCAAGTAGGAGGTAATATATCATGCTTCCTTCTTGGTTTTGATAAGTACCAGTAGAATTATCACGCCTTTGAGATAAATTAAAAATAATTGTAATGTACCTTAACGTTCAATTAAAAATGATATTGTTTCAAAAAGCAATAAAGTTATGTAATAAGAGTGGCTAAGAAGCTGATTCACATGATGGACGAAGTGGAAGTTATCATTTAAGCCCACACAGTATTATGAAACAACTATCGTGATGGGGTCTGGTAATAACTTGTTCTTTTATATAAAAATTTTAATTATAGTAATATAGCAAGAATCATATTGCAGCAAAAAATATGACAACATCAATGACAATGGTGTTCACAGATTAGATACCATATAGTATGGTAAAAATCAAATAAATACAGCTTTAAGTTGTGAACATAGGAGATAATGCTTGTTAGTGAAATTGACTCTGCTTAATTGGAAATGAAGCCTGCTCTCACACTATCAATAATGATGGTGATAGAGCAGGCTTCACCATCATCCACTAGTACCCCGATAGCACATATATCATAATACAATACCCTTATCTTAGGTATTCACTATTTCATAATCAAAACATTACATGAATACTAGACAACTAAGGAGTATATTAAAATTTGTTTATTTTTATGTATTACATAGAAAATAAGTAATTTGATATAAATATACAGTTATACACGCTAGCAGTTTGATATAATTTTATTGTCCAGAAATCGAAATAACCATCGAAATTTAATACAGTGCTACACGCTGTACGTCCTAATAAGTATTTTTGTATAATAAAAATGTATATGTAAATATAATAATGGTGATATCGAACTATATAGGTATCCGTATGTCATATTTGTTCAGACGTAATTGTTTAGAGTTCATAAGTAATTTTTTTTAAACTAAACATGGCGCCTTCGTCACAACACAAGAAGTCTAAATAATTATCGGGAGGGCATGGAACATGGAAAAATCATTAAATATACCTAATTATATTAGTGCAAAATGAAGAGATGTTTTAAAAATATATCTATATATAGATAAAAGACTGCATAGATAAATAGTAAATATTCATTAAAACTTACATCGCACCAATAGTGTAACATCTCTTCTCAAGATATGTCTAATCTGTTGACTGCATAATTCACGATCCAACACATCTTCGTACATTTGGGGATCAAACATTTTGTTGCGATCGTACACCATGTTAACATAGCCGTAAACATTAAAAATAAAAACTGAGATAATAATAAAAACTAATTTAAATTCCATTTTGAAACAATTTACACAATTTTTAATACATTTGTGACTGAATCAAACTCCTCAGTACACGTACTATCGCCGAGTTATTTAATATTAATGTAAACAAAATCCAGGTATCGCCATAAACACAATCTTTATTTTGATATGAATGTAATGTTGCTAATCTAATCGTTAATTGATTTAATTTTTATGACGTTGTTGTTTAAATATGTGGATTTATTGATATGAAATTGGTATCTTACAAGTGGACTCTTATATTTGGATAGTATGGGATTAAGCAAAACAGGTGCAATAATTTCGAGACGGTCAATAACAGTATAAGAACCGCTACGAAAATTAGTCTACCCAAGTCTTGTTTTTGTTTTAGATATCTTGTTTGTTTTGTCTCTTTATTGTCTGATGCAGTAGTATGCCTACTTTTGTTTACATGTAAGTACAAATATTTATCGTATCTATATAGTTTTTCATAATTTTACTTATTTTTGTTTACCTATAAATTTCAATTTATATGCATATATGTACTACTGGCATAGTGTATAATTGAACTGCTATGAATTTTTTAAACTCTAACATAATTACGGAATTCTACTTCCAATAAAAATATGTCCAAATCATAAAGCAGTATTATTAATCTGTGATTAATATATACTAATCTGTATTGTATCTAACTACCGAATTTAATTCGAAATAGTTTAGTACTTTTTGAAACAAACATGATCATTAAAAATTTATTACAGCAGTATTAGTAATAATATTTGCAAAATAGTAACGTCAATTTTTACATAGCTCTATTTTTTTAAATATTATTTTCAATATTTACATTTATTTATTATTTTTAAATATTGTGCTTGATTTTCGGGAGCTAAACGGTTAGGGAACTAGACCTGGATATGACTCGAATAGTCTAGGATATAGGATCTATTTAAGAATATAATAAAAATAGTAATAATGTAATTCTAGATAGCGACTGGTAGCGAAATCTTTTAATAATAATTGAACACAACTACTTTCGTATGCATGGTCAATTAAAACATGTTATACAACGGGACGCCATAATTTAAGCTTACCAAACAAATCGACTTTGTAGGTAATTATCGGCAGCATTACTCCTGAGTATAATGTCTCATTGTTAATTGTTAGCCAAGATATATCTGAGGCGGATCTCTTTGGGACTGTCTGCCTTATCTCGAGAGAGGTAGCCAGCCCGGGCCTTTTAAAGATGACTATTCGATGGCTGATTTTTAGTCGGTAGACTTTGAAGCATTTTCAGTTCAGTAAAGAAAAAACTTTGTCAAAATATTATACAAAATTATTTGTTAGTATTTTTTTTCTACTTTCGGAATGGCATCAGAAGGGCCGTCGTTAGGCCCTCCTGATGGTCAGAGTTAACTATCGCCTATATATATATTTGAAGAACATTACAATATATCACATTATCATAGCACTAATATGTTGTACTTTTTTCCTGTAATGTTACTGTATTATCTCATTACTCTTTAGCCGAATCAAACGCCTTATAAGTCACAAAAAGCCGAGAGCATCCTGAGTTCTCCCATGATTTGAATATGTATTATTATATTATACCATAATGGTATATAATATACCATATTGCTGAAATAGATATTTTAACATTTGGTTAAACCGATGAAAAAATAGAGCATAGTTGCTGAAATTATAACATTATTAAAGAGCAATTCTATCATGAAATTAAGTCCATAATTGAATGAGTTTATATCCTGAGTCGGAGTTCCATAAGTAAAATGGATTCAAAGGATGAAAGAAGACTATTATATATATAATTAGTATGAACTAACTTCTATATTTTTTTTGGCCATTACTTGTGTAAATTTAGATTTAACACATGATTCTCAATCTAAAATACAACGTGCATTGTTAATTTTATAACGATAGATTAAGACCTTATATGAATGTATATAAAATTCACTTTTAGGTTTATGAAGTTAGTTAAGATCAGGATAATAAGACTAACAATTTCTCTGAAATTTATGTGGTCATCCGTCTATCACCAAATTCAGCTGCCAAGTAGCTAACTTTGTAAACTGTAGAAAAGTGAAAGAGATGTTACCGTTAGAGATGTTGTTATGTTGATGATATTTCACCCCAATGGCGGCGTATGAGTGGTACCATAGGCGTCACGTGACAACGTGATGACCGTGAGGCTTTTCATGTATATAGGTGACGGTAACCACATATCATCAAGTAGCACGTCAGAGTGTGACCATTCAATTTACATATTTTTTTTGTAGACATTATAAATGCATTAGCAACAAAAGCGTCATAATCAAATTACTTTGATAATCATGATTTATCTAATAAACCATTTCTATGACCAATACTTTATATGTACATATGATACAAGATATCTAATTCGGAATAGATACAGATCTGTTGATAATAAGATTATAAGACAATCGTTATAAGTTTATATCCGCATTTTATTAAAGCAATATGTAATAAATAATTATATATATATATATATATATATAACAAATTGTTACAAATTATATCGACAAGTAATAATTCTCAGATGCAAAGATCTAAGACCTAAAAATCTTAAAAATATTCAACCCACAATATCCGTCCATAATATATGAGAATTTCCCTTAATTGACCTAGCTTCTCTTTACCGGACATTACTTGTGACAATCGAACCAACTTATAAGAATACCTACCCTTGAATAAAAAAAAATGTAAATCACTCCACAATTGATCAAGATATAAATGAATGTACATAAATGAGCATACATAGCGATCAAAAATAGAACTACTATTTTTTTTTAAGTCAGTTAATAATATCTGTATATAAACAAAATATAATTTAGAATAGATTGTTATACCAATCTATTCTAAATTATATTATTAATATCTTTTCCTACAACCTTGTATATATACATATAATTAATCTGCATCAATCGGTATGTGAATGGCATTCTTAGGAATGTTTAGTCTGCAATTAGTAAACACTGTAGTGATTTTCTAGTAAATATCAATAGAGAAGCCATATGTAACCAATAATCTTTATAGTGTAAAATATTTGTTTATAATAGATTATTTTATTTTCGTTACGGTTTCATGTTACTTTAGTATCTATTAAGGCAAGAAACGTAAGAAAATGCATCAAACATATTAATAATAATGAATTCAGAGATTTCCTAGCAATTATAAAAGAGATATATTTTGTTTGGATATAATTAATTTATTTTTTCAAATTTTGATACGGAATGATTTAAATATATTGAACACTTTCGACCACATATGCAAGTCTTAATATTTTATCACTATCATACAGTTCAACTAGCGAGAAACTCAACTAATATATTTTTATGTTATATATTTTTTATTCAGTAACTATCTTTAAACAAAACAGGGTATATTGCTAGTTCAATTTCCACGTGGTCTCCTGGAAATCATCGTGGTAAATTCCTGGTTAATTTGATGTGTCACAATGAACTAACTGATTTGACCTCGTGTTCATCTTATCAAGGTCCATATACTTCACCACCAGATACTGCTAGCGGAAGCGGATTCACCATTCTCTTATCATCCATTAAAAAAAACATATGATCATAATAAAATATACTAATAAGGCACAGTACAGTGTATTTAGACTTTGTCGGTAATCTCTGCAATTGCTTGAATAATCCAGTAATTGCTTTCATCGGCTTTGAAAATATATGGATGTATTCAACAAGTCATTTAAATGTATTATATTAAACGGAAAAAACATACTTTATAGTTTGTCAATAAAATATGATTATAGAATCCACATTTAAATGACTTGTTGAATACATGTATTGTAATAATATATGAATAATATTGGAACTTTTGTTATTAAATTTATATCTGGCCAGGTAGAAGACATTGCAACTAGAATTTTATATTTAGAAAGATATTTATATATTCGGTGTTTTTTATTGTTCAAAAAGTAGTAGTGTAGTTTACGTAAGTTTACCAATTATCCATATTTTACTTTCGTATTTCACTATATTTATTGAAAGTGCGTATTAAACCCCTACATATAATAATTTCTTCTTTGTATGCCTTGACGAACTATAAATGAATGTAAGTAAATAAATAATGCAATGTAAAATAAACAACAGATTTTTTAAATTTTATTTTGAACGAATAGGTTGAATTAGTCAAATTATACTATAAATAATATCTTACTTTATTGTAATAAATATATTTAGTTTACATGAACTTAATTTACTATAAATAATAATCTATTATATTTATATATTTTCATCACTTACGAGAAAGACCGAGAAAATCAAGGGTTCTTGTAATGAGTATCATTACATATTTACATGCACAACAAGTACATCTTTAGCTTCATTCGCTTTCTTAGTTCATCTCATAACATAGATCAATTCCAATGTTTTGACTTCATATATAATACAATGTATTAATGCTGTTACGGTATCAGTATCACTATTGTTTTCATTTACATCAAATATTCTTTCCGCCTGTAGGTATATTTTATAATATATTTTAATTATGATCAATAAATATTTCAAAACAAATATAATCACGGGCACATTAACCGTAGGTAATAAATTTTACTTGTTCCCTAAGAATTAAAAATATGACTATAATTCTATGTGTATTTATGACGAAGATAAACGAATCCGTTCTTTATTACAACACCATTGTTATCAAATACAAATATTTATCTATATTGCAAATAACGATGCAAAGGTTCATTGGACAGTGAGTCATCAATCCATTGTTGCAAATACCTAATACGCAATAAGGCTTTATGTATTTACTTAATAATACCTAAAGAAAATACAAGAACACAATACTTTATAAATTGATATATTTTGTTTTGTTAACATATTGTTTTTATTTTTTTAACAATTTTGTTGAATTTTATTTTACAGAAGTACATATTTTTTTGTAATTTTTCTTTATTTTCTAAAGGTCACAAAAAATATTCAGTATATTTTAGTTATTATATTATATTTTTTAAGCTTTTTAATTTTAGGTTCTTAGTTGTACATATATTGTTTATTTTTAATTGTAACACTGTTTGTGGCCAGACTAT